TTTCAGATTTCATACAATGCAGACTTTCCCACCCTATAGATACCTATGCACATCACATTTATGTTTCTCTGACTGCCAGCACTGTTAGTTGAGAGACCCCAGCATTTCTAGCGATGAAGCATGCCTGGCTTGATTCTGGCTGCAATTCTCAAATTTGCATTTTATTCCGATGAACGATTGCAAGGTCGAGTTCCTAACCTTCTATTGTGTAACCATGTAGCTTTCACAATTTGGGATGCCACAACACAAGATTGTCACTATGTCACAGCGTTGTGCTGGTCACTGCTGGGCATACCCTCACCCACAGGAGACAGACTTTATGAGATGGCGTCCTCACAGGCATCACTGCGACATAGTGCCAACAATTTCCCACACTTGCACCAGCAAAATCAAACATACTTGTGTTCAGGACAGCACAAAGTGCAGGGCCGGACACCCAGCATAAGATTCACAGTCCTAGCTATAATCTCATGAAGTCCAAGCCATCTGGTACTAAAATGGAATCACAAAACCAGCAGCTTAGCAGCGCGACCAAGCACCTGACCAATTATTGTCCCCAGCCAATGTGGTGCATGCTCTTGTAGAATGTCAACGAAACTTGCACAGGCCTCCACACCCAGCCGCCGCAGTGTCACATCTGGTTCGTTCACAAGACCTGTGCGCAGGGCAGCCAACACTTGCGGAATGTGTGGCATCAGCTGACTGCGCATTACAGTGACAAAGACTGACAGGGCACGCCATGCTTGGAGCCGAGCAGCATAGCTCTCCTTTGAAAATTCAAACTGCAGTCACAAAACAAGTATCAACAACAGCAATGCTGGCATTAAAAGCAGCGCTTTTGGCAAACTGGCACCAGGTGGAGCAACAATGCTGGGTGTTGGTGACACTCACAAGTCTCAGTATATGTGGCACACACAAATGAACGTGATTCTCGGCGAGATAAATGCTGGCAATAGCTTGCCCAAATGCACTTGCCAATCTCACATCGATCATGGCCCCGCTATTCCGTTTTCCAGGATATTGAGCTCAGATGTTTGGCTTCAACAACAAGGAAACCACACCCAACGTGTGTTAGTCGTAAGATTGAATTTGTCAGCAGAGTATCAATACACAGGTCTGGCACTTTCAAGGTTAGGTTGAACAGAAACCTGGCTTCAGAGTGTCCAAATATGATCTTCAGAAATGGCCATGGCTGAGGTTGTGAAGCTATTTTGTGGAACTGGCAGTTAATCCAATTGATGCAGCAAAAGCTAGGCACATCAGTCACAGCAGGTTAGCATTTAATGGTAATGTGGTGATGGCAAGGCGTTCGGTCCCCAAATTGAAAGCTGTCATGTGATCCCCACACTGAAAGTTGTGTTGAATACAGAGAAGTGCACACAGTAAAATACAATATTGTGGTGAAATATGTCAGCAGGTAGTACCACAATTGCCTGGGATGTTGCAGAAATTGATCAAAGGCAAACTCAGTGCTGACACTAGCCAAACATGTGCCAACAATCAGGATGGCACTTGAACAAATTCTGCTCAAGTTCAATTGTTCAGATTTTCCTATTCACCACAAATCAAAGGCACGCATGGGCCCCAGCAGTCTCACAGTTTTGCTTAGCTTCACAAAGAATCCAGCAACACGGCCTTTCAGATCGGAGAGGTCCGGTTCCGCATAGCCACAGATGCGAAGAAATGTGTGCAGCTTTTCATGGCACAGAATAGCAACTGACTTCAGATCTTCATGGCCACTCCAGTGAGTTGCCTCGCCAGCAGCCCACATAATCTGTGCATGAAGCAAGCAGCAGACCAAGATTGACGAGAGCGGGAGTAGAATAACAAGCAAAGAAAGGAGTACTTGAAGATGCTATCAGGGTTTGTAAGCTGCAGAGCCTTGTGGTCCCATCATAGCCTTATTTGAGGCAAGGGCTGTGACTTGTCAAGTGACCAAAACCATAAAGAGAACGAATGTCCTGCTCCAGATACCAGTAAGCATACCTCGACAGCAATGTTTCGTTTGCCACGTGCCAATTGTAGAAAATGAGCCACACCACAACTCTGCAAGGCCACCTACCTCAGCCACAACTGCCCCAAAGTAGGGCTCCATATGGTGAAGAAATTGTGTGTTGTCAGGCCCAAGCAATTTCAGCTTGAATGCAGCGAACTCAGAGGCAGAGTTGTTCCACAAAACAAAGGACATTGCAAAGTGGAAATTCCCAAGGAGGAGTTGCTGGGGAGACATCCCCAAGATCTGCGCCAAGTACCGGAGGGCATTGTAATCTTGAATGGCACCTATGCAGCCGACCAATGGTTCATGAGGAAGGAAGCATGTCAAACAGTAAGTCTTCAAGGCACAAAAGCACTGTTTCACCAGGTAACAACAGACACAGCATCAGAATCCATGTTCCACAACTCGCACCCCTTTCCTGAGCAAGAAACTATGAGATATTTTGCAACATTGTGAACATGATGTGGAAATCTACAGAAGCAGCAGATAAAGAACACACCGATGTAGCCGATGGCATTGGGAATGATGAGGGCGGCAATATGTTCAACACTCTCATCCAATAGACTAGCAACTTCATGCAGCAGTTGGTGTCTGGTGGCCAGGAAGGAACTCATCGACAGAGAGCATCTCTGTGAAAACAAACACACACCACGTTTCGATCGCTGATGACAGCATTAAAAAAGAACGTCTCAATGCAGATTGGGCAATGACAACAAACACATGTAGTTGATGGGGAACAAACATATGTGCCCAGTCACATCCAGTTGGCACTGAACCTGCCGACATAGGTGAACGCAAGTTGGTCACTCTTTGACAAATTCCTTTGCTCATTTCAGCATTTGCTGTTGCTGACCATGGGAAGGTGAACTACCTGCACGTTGATCATGCAGCAAAAGAACCAAATGAACTGACTCTGTACTGTCACTTGACAGCACAAACCGACCACGCACTTGCCTCATGTGCAGATCCCAGCAACAAAGTTGCCAAATCAACTCCCTCTTGATCAGCCACCTTCATCAACATACTCTCTGCCATTGCTGACACAGAGCGTTTGCTGCTATTGATGTTTTCAAGCAGGCATTGGACAGTAACCACAGCAGCTTCTTGCCCCATTAAAGCTGTATGCAAAGCTGCCAATTGCTGCAATATTGCAGTGGTGTTGGCTTCATGGGCTCTGGCAAGATGGTCCTTGAGTGCCTGAGCAGCAGGGAACACAAATATCCCACACTTGGCACACAGAAATCATGCAAGGCAACAGTCTGCAACTAATTGCCAGGCAAAGAAACGTGACGATTGAGCACCAGCATCGTCCTATACACCATTAGCAAGTCCAAGATGCACTCCACAATCGGAAGCCACTCCGAATTGTGAAATCTGCGTCCACCATCGATCTGAGCTCATTGGCTTCTTCCTACACATTTTGCACCACTAATTTTTGCACACACTATGGCCACTAGAAGCATGCCTCCCATTGGGCATGAAGATGAACGGCGCATGTTTTTGGTCCTACCATTGACAATTGCAAGCTCACCTCAACCACTCTCAACGCTCCTTGTTGTTCATGTGACCCCCTGGCCCACTCTGCCATAACTCGTTCTTGCAAAAGTGCAAGGAGAACCCTGTGCGTTTCCGATGGCAAGACTGCACATTCATGAATGGCAGCTTGAAATATAAGATCAAGCACAGCTTGAGAAGCCATGATGTGAGAAGGGTTAGCATGTACCAGATACTTGTGGATGCTTCGAAAAACAACAGCCTGAAACATAAAAGAAGTGTCACTTGGGGATCCCTTGATTCCTCATTTTACTTACAGCTGTCTTCTCACAGACCCCAAATGCTTGTTGAACAGCAGGAGTAAACTATGGGAATATGATACTCAGCAACATGATAGCTATCTGGCCACTTGCAATTCAGAGCACAGTGGGATCTGCTGAGCAGCACGATTTCTTGCTGCTTTTCCTTGATTGCTGTGCATTTCCTATCAATTGTCGTTCCACTCCTACATCAACTTGCAGTAAATGAAAACAAGCTAGAAATGCGCTTGCACAACAGAGCTTTCAACTGCTGAACATGCATTTTCTTCCTGCAAAAGTCAGTACCTTGACTTTGGTGGAGCTCCCATCTGCAAGTAGTGCTTTGCAGAATGGTTCCCAAGTAGATAGGTGCACCAGGTGTTTGACAACCAAATCGCCTTCATCATCACAAATGGCACTTACTGCAGGGCCAGTTTTGAACTGCCAGGGTTCCCAGCCAATCTTGAACAACACCTCACTCAGCAACTGCAACAACTTGTGAACAACATCCACCCATTGCGACAATGTTGCTGCGTTGAACGCCATAATGTGCATCCCAAGACTTACACCAGTTGCCCATCTGACAGTTTCGTCCATGCAATCAAGATGAGATGCCAACTGCTGCAAGCAGTTCTCAGCACTGGGAAGATCCTGCCCTGAGTGGCTGCCACTCTGCTTGCTACAGCCAGGCAAAGCCTGACATTCATAAGCAGAAACTACTGGGGTAACGAGTTGGATGGCTGCTTTCAAAGGCACACTGGTGCAGCCAGCCATACTGTGAACAATGGTTTTGCAAAGCAGGGGCCTTCTTGCTCCAGCCGAATGTTGTCCCAACGTTTCGACCGCCACTGCCGCCTGCAGGACTTGAAGTTTCAGTCGTTCAGCCCATTCTGTGCCTGCCCCGGACAGGTCGATGGCTCCAGACTTGGAGAAATGTGCCCAAATAGAGTTCAGCATCTTGGGGATGCTCTGTGCCAGCAATGAGGACAGCTCCTGGAGAGATGGCTGATCACATGATGTTGAGGACAGCGCCTGCAGGGTGGGCACCAGCAGGGCCAGAGCAACCTCCAGAATTCGTGAGCATTCTGAGGCTGGAGAGGTGGGAACCGAGGCCAGGCTTGCCTGCTGAAACCAAAGCTCACAGGCCCTGGAAAGGGCCACAAGGAGGTTGATGTGGGGCCTTCCACTGGCAGCAGTAATCAATACCAGCAGGGTGCGCAGCTTCTCCAGTTTGGGGCCAGAGGGATCAGGGAATAGGGATGCAATGAACAACGCAAATACACCCTCCAGACGTCTGAACTGCACCCAGTCATGGGAGCAGGATGAGTCCACAGTGTTGGCCTGCCACCCTACAATGGGTGGTTGTGTATGGCCTCTTGGCAACAGGCTGTCTCTGCTCTCCACATCTTCTATGACATCTTCCATTTCCTCATCCACCCCTCCAACCGTCCCTTGAGTGCTCAAGAAATCCTCTGGCAGTGTGTCAACGAGCTGCCTGACGCACCCAGCAAGCACCTCCCTTACAGGGTCCTCAGCACCAAGCAAAGGCAGGAGTGCCTCGAACTCCACCGCCAGCAAGGGTGTTGTGACAGCTAGGGCTTTCAGCACCCGGAGCAAGTGAGCTTGCAGGTGGCTGTTTCGCTCACAACTAATCGCCACCTGGGCAGGGCGGAGAGACAGGAGCTATGTGAGCAGCCTAGGACAAAACGTTGTTGATGATTAAATAGTCCATTATCGCCGTAGAGGCGGCTTGGCTTGCCACTGTTCATGAACCTGATCAAAGGAATGAAGTATGCGCATCTTACACTCTACCTAGATCGCCCCTTGTGTTTAAGTGAGACTCGAATCTGGTGAATTACTTGGTTTAAATGATGGTCAGCGCACACACATGGACAAGGACACTTGGACACCTGGACAACTCGGACCCTGGTACTTCTGGATATCGTGTTCTTGAAACTCTATGTGTACCCACACGCCCAGTCTCGGCATGCAGGAACAAGGTCTGATATATCACTTTCGACGCATGCAGTCAGAGGATCTGCGCACCTGAACAAGGGCCCTACACAAGCTCCCTGTGGCCACTCCCTGAACGCCGGCGCGTTCGAGGGCATCCACAAGCGTCTCCAGCACCCGAAGGACCGCCGCCTCCCAGCCGCACGCGGCGCGCTCCCCCGGCTGCCCCCTGCCGACGCCTTCCCTGATCACCGCCTCCACCGACCACAGCGCGTCGAGCACGCACCTCGCCAGCAATCCCCCAGGCCCATGCCGCAGGCCCCACCCCAGCGCGATCAACAAATCCGCCTGCGCCGTGGACCCCGCCTCCGTGCAGCGCAGCATCTCCCGCAGGGCTTCGAAGAAAGCCGGTGGCGGGCCCGGCGCGGGACAGTCGTCGTCGTGGCCGTCCCCGTCGCACAGCAGGGCCGCGGTGTAGACTCTACAAGCTGCCCGCGTCAGCCGGACGACGTCGCCCTCGCATTCCACGACCACCTCAGACGCTCCCAGCCGCCCGGCCTGGCCCGATCCCCCGTCCACCGGCCATCGCCCCTCGCCGACCATCCCCCGGAAGATGCCGACGCGGACCCGGCCGAACGGCCCCGCCTCCGCCGCCCTACCCTTCACAACCGCCAGGTCGATGATCATCCTGACGGCGTCCACGTACGCCGCCCTGAGCAGCGCCCGGCTTCTGGCGTGCAAGACGGCCACCACCCGTTCCACGACGTCCAGCAGGGCGGCGGCGCCGTCGACGTCAGATGTCTCTCGCGCCAGTGCGGTCAAAAAGGACAGGAGGCCGCTGGCCGGCACCTCGCACCCCTCGTCGATCACGTCCGCGTCCTCGTCCAGCACAGCCCGCAGTTTCTGGCACAAGGACAGCGGGGAGCCCCCGCGGAAGGATCGCAGCAGGCGGGTGAGGCTCGCCCGCACCTCCGCCACCTTCTCGGCGGTGGTGCCGCTCTCCATGGGCCGGGGGGCACCGGCAAGCGGGCAGCTCGCGCGCTACGCGCGAGGACTCGGGTGCGCAGCTGGGCCGAGAGGCCCAGGCTCCGGGCTGGCAGGGTGGCATCGTCATGCCCGGTCAGAAATAAAAGCGCAAGGGAATTGAAAATTGTTGGAAGTTGGTGCAATGCGAATGGGTTCCGTGACTGCCGGGATGAGGTGTTGACAAAGCGAAATGGTGTGTGGTCGCTGACTCGTTCGCCCCTGGGGACAGCTGTCCGTTGGAAGCGGTGTGGGAACGAGCTGGAGACGAATCCAGTTACAAATGGATCCCATATCGGCGTGTCCTTTTGCATGTCCTCCTTCCCTTTACGACCAGGCCATCCATTCAGTCCATGTGTCACCATAATGTCTGTTATGCACAGGCCTAGTGTGGGGGACGCCCTGCCTCGGTCTCCTGGAGTGGGGGACGCCTTGCGCAGGATACAGTAATGTTTCTCTGAACTGGGCATTATATTATATATTACAAGCTCGGACCGCCGCCCACATTGCACACGCAGCGTCCTCTGATTAACCCGGCGTCGCGACTTCGGCTGGTCGTATGGTCTATCTAGATGGTTCTTTCAAGGCCTTAAGAGGCAGTTAAATACAAACGAATGTGAAAATAAGTTGGAAAAATGCAACAGGAATGCAATCGAATGACCTGGACTTGGTGTTCAATTGCAAAGCTAGCTACAAAAGTCAGTGGGCGAAATAGTGTAGGAATGGGTGCACAAACTGGTGCATCATTTGGTGGCTTCTTTGATGCGATGATTGTTCCAGCAGTTTGTGCATGAATCGGTGCAGCAAATGGTGCGCCAATTGGTGCACTGACTGGAGCATGGCAATGAAACGATATTTTCTTTTTTTGCTGTTGCGATTTGTTTCATCCGCACCTATCTGTCGAACGAGGCTCGTCCAGAATCTGGACTCATGTCGCTAACAACATACATAATTGCACAAAATTGCATATCTTACACAAAAGGACTGAACACTCGCACAAAGAGGTTGCTACCAGATCTGCTGGCGCAAGACAAAGGGCAGGATCAAGATCATATTTGCATTTCCACGTGTCCTAAAGTCTGGCAATCGTCAGAAACGCTATTAGTATTTCTGGCCTTAAGGCCTGTGTCCATCACAATTTCCAAGCATGGCAAGCTGGCAGCACTAAACTTCTCCTTCCAGGCGGCCCTGAACACAACTTGATTAAATTCACACCACTGCACTCCCTACTCCGTATTTTCCATTGCATGGTGCAGTTTGTCGGCTCTTCCAGCACCGAACCAGCGCGCAGGGGCAGTAGAAGACAAAAGTGCAATTGAGCAAAAAACTCCGATTGTGCGGTACAAAGACGGTGGCAACACTCCGGTGCGCAACAGAACCATCGCCGACAGAAGCACCACCAGGACAGCCTGCGAGACGCTGGATGGACCTCCGGCCCACCAGCGGTTCCTGTGGCGCTCCTGACGCCCAGCGCCTGTACGGTCAAGATGGCTCAGACGCCAGAGCAGCTCGTTCTGGGAGTTGCCAGGAAGAACCCCGAAGTGAGTGGGTGCAGGATGCAGGCACTGGCAAACGTTTTGCTGGAGCGAGACGGGTGCCAGCAGCCGAAAATAAACGTGAAGTCGGATTGTTCGGGGCGTTGCTCAGTCTGTTGGACAGGTGTAGTCGCAGTCACAGCCCATGCTGCTGTGATCGTAGATGATTGGTGGCCATGTCAGTAAGGATCCCGTAGGGCCCTCTCTTAATAATGGACACATCAGGCGCCCCAGCCTAAGCTTGGGAGTTCAGAAGCGCTAGCGCTGCAGAAGGCGCCGCCGCTGCACAGCTTCACCCATTGGAGTCACCTGTTTTGGTCGTCAGGTGGCGTGACGCTCACACCATAGGAACAGCGTTGTGGCCGCAGACCAGGGCAAGCTGTGGCCCCTATCAAAGTTGCTGAGACAGCGGACCCAACGCTGGATGTGAGGGAGGGTTGCTGCTGTTGCTGTCGTCCCTAGTTTTCATCGGATCAGAAGCAGCTTGAACACAATCATGGGTGATGTCTCAACAGCATGCATTTCTGCGACTGCGAATACGTTTAATGTGCGTGGCCCCTTTTGACCTACCTGCAAGTCCAATTGGTGAAGGTGGAATTGGGTGCTCTGCAGGGAGCCAGTGATGCGATCCTTGAGAGGGAGCTTGCAGATTTGTTGACTGTGGAACAACGTGCCAATGCCATCAACTCACTCCTCCAGACTGGGCGCCTGCAGCTTTTCAGCTCAGGCACGGGGTTGGTGTACAAGGAAGTGGACCTGAATGTGGCCATCAAGTGGGTACCCTGTCTGCATGGCTGATTACGCGCATTCTTCAGTTGCCATGTGCTGTTGCACTAAATTGCTTTACTGTGCAGTTTAACTGTGCCTGTGCGTCCCCACTGGAAGGGAGCATATGTTGAATGTGACATTTCATGCCCTTCAGCCCAACACATATAATGTCAGGCTTTTGTTGTATCCTTGGGGGAAGATAGGAGCCACCTTTTTGATGCATTGCCCCATTGACACCCTGCTGTCTGTGCTCTCAGAGCACATGCCTCCAAAGAAAGGGGCAAGAATGTGCTTGTACTATGCGTGGTGTTGAAGTGAAGATGCTGTGCTTCAGTCATGGACTTGCAGCAGGTGCAAGTATGTTGATTACAAATTCATGCTGCGTGTGCCATTTGAACAGTGGCTTGCACGATGGCTGCTGAAATGGAGCACCAAACAACAGATTCGAGTTCAATTACACAACTGTGTTTGGGAATGTGGCAGTAGGGACAAGAAGCTGATGAATATAGCCATCAATCCCACTATTGCATATAGTTGTGAACTGCATGCTCTGTGTTGTGTGTTTGGTTAGGTTTCGCGGTCTTGGGACAGAGGAGTTGCTGGTGTACCAAGTTGTTGAGCAGTCCAGAAACAGTGGTAGGTGGGATCCAATTTGGCAAAGTGATTTGTGTGCATGGTTTCCCATCAACACATTGCCCTGTTGCCACCTGGACAAGAAGAGAAACGAGCAGCATCAGTGCATTTGCGTGGCAAATTTCCAGTTTTTGAAGGTGCGTGAAGGCAAATTGGCTGCATCGCCAGTTTGGAATGCAGAGGTCCAGTCACAAGCATGTCCAAGGGGGATTGTCTGGGGAAGGGTAGTGGTTTGGTCTTGTAGGTATGAGCATTAAGGTATTATGTATCAGTCCCTGGCATATGCAGCACGTTGTTTGCATGCCAAGTTGCAGAAGAGTGCAATGGAACAGAACAGCACAAGAATCAAAGGTCGGATGTCAGTCGACTGCCTTTTGCAGCCTTGTTCCAAAAAGAGAACGCCTTCTTGCTGATGCTTCCGTACCCGTTCAAACTGTCAGCCAAGGATGCATCCCTTATGTTCGCCTGTGTGACTGCAGGAGCCATGTCTCTTCGCACATGAAAATTTGTCTCCATGTTGGTGCTCCAACTGTCATTGATTGATTGACATTCCTTTGATACAGTGTACTGAAGTTGGGCAGATAGTTGCTCATTCATGCTTTCTGAAGGTATGCCAAGTGTCCTGCCTGTGCCTACCCCTGATGGTCTTCGCCCGCTCAGTGCAGGGATCTGGACAAAGGAAATGAAGTCGAAGACTGGCCTGGCCCAGCCACAGCTCACAAAGATCCTGAAGAATCTGGAGACCCGACAACTGGTGAAAACATTCAGGCCAGTTGAGAACAAGACGCGGAAGATGTACATTCTGTACTCTCTGGAGCCTGCAGAGCATCTCACGGGTGGCGCTTGGTAGGCGCATGGGTCCCATAACTTTTGCTGGATGCCAGTTTGTCACCCTCACACGACATATGGACAAGCAGTGTTGAAAGTTGAGCAGAAGCAGTTGCACAGACAGGATTTAGAAGTTGGTGAGGTGCAGCTTTGTGAGACACAATTATTTACCATAATGGATGCCATGATTATGTCTGTCGATGGACGTTTGCAAGGCCATGAGACAAACATGGCATGCGTGTACTTTTTGTCAAAGTTGGGTTTCCTAACAGGAGCTGGATTGTGAACCATGCTCACCGCCCAGGTACACAGACATGGAGAAGGACACCGAATTTATCGAGGTCTTGCAGGAGGCGTGCTTCCGGGTCATAAACCATCGTGGCCTCGCGTCCCTCGCTGACATCGCAGACTTCATTCGCTCTAAGAACCTCTCACGAGTAGACCTGAGCAACAGCAACATCAAGTCCATAGTGGACACCCTGATCTACGATGGGCGCGTGGATGAGGTGGAGGGCTCCTCTGGGGTGCAATACAGGTCTGCGCTGCTGCAGCTGCCTGACTCCAGTGCCCTCACATCTGTGCCCTGCGGTGTGTGTCCCGTTTTCAACGAGTGCAGGCCTGGGGGCATTGTCTCACCAGAGTCGTGCATCTATTATGACAAATGGCTGGATTTCTAAACCCGCTCAGCTAAACAGGCTTGCCTTAGCAGGATCTGGGGTTCAGGCGTTTTTAATTGTGGTTTTGGGTAGCCCGAGTGGTGCAAATGTGTAATATCTTTAGAGTCTGCTGGGCAGGAGCACCGCTGAAGCAAAAGCAACCTAACATCATCTGCCTGTATGCCTTGTGGCAATGAAAAGCGAACGTATATGAGTAGAAGCAGATGGATAAAAAGAAGAATGAGATGTAGAGCCAGGACAGCTGTTTGAAGTATGCAGATGGGAAAAATTGCTGTGTGTGGCTGTACTTTGTGCATGTGCATGATGTACATAGATCAGTGGTTTTGTTCTGCAACCTGGCATCTCACCTTTGGATTGATGGGCCCCAACATGACTAGCCATGTCATCCTTACCCAGTTCCTTCCTAGCTGCCAAATCAGCTCCTCCCTTGCCTCTCGGACCAAGCCCCGAAGGGCACGGTCGCCATGGTTTGGTGGCTGCTGACACTGAAACCGTTGTGGCTGACTGGGGCTCCACATCGGTAATTGCCAACGCGAAAAGAAATGGAGCCAAGGACTAGAAGATTGTTTCTGTCCGGACCTTGCTGCCAATTGTTCGGATTTTCACATGGTACAATGCGCGCCAGCTGGATTGACAATCATGAGAGAGATTCAGCCTGGTAGGTCGCCCAAATTCATGGTATTGCAGAATTTTTGGCGGAGCAGGCATACCATAGCATATTTAGCATTTCTGCAATGACACGACGCTCGGGCCTTTTGTGTGGAACAGTAAAACTATAAAAACACCGACGCTGCTAAGGAGCAACGTGGAAACGGAAAATACTTGGACCAAAATACGACGCAAGACTGGAGCCAGAGACCAGAGCCGTTGGCGACCCCCGCTGACAGGGTTGTCACGGATGACAGCCAAGAGCAACCGGACAGCGTCTGGTCTTATCGGGCGCCGGTACTTGAACGAGCGCCTTTAAAAGGGCAAATCTGGAAATTTGCATCACATCACAAGGCCAGTTGGCCTCGTCTCCACGAACTTCGCGTTCACCGACCCTTGCAGTTGGGCCCGCCAGTGCCCATGGCTGGCTGCTCCAATCCATCTCTTGCACCCCGACACAAGCAAGGAAAGGAGGGGGCTTTGCTCTGCCAGGCCAACCAGCCTCGATCCCAATGGAATGTGCTAAGTTGATCCTTGCAATCGTCTTGTGTCGAGCACGCTTCGACTCTTCGAACCAACGCACACGTGCATCCTGTGCCTGTCAAGCGCTAGCGCTTAGCGCGATCAAAAGGACGACTTTTCGCCGCTTCCAAGGCCACTCAGCGTCTGTTCATGCTTCTGCGGCTTCTGGAGAGGTGATGAGGAATGGAACAAAAGTTGGAAGAAGCTGCTGCGGCAAGATGTGCAAGAATAAATCCTCTGAAAGGCGGCGCAAACTTTTTCAAATGCGGAAGTGCTAAATATACTGCAGTATTTACTGTGCATGCAAATAGGCGCTAGGGCATCCAGTCCTGCCTACTCGAGGCTGACGTAAACTTGAAAAAGTGCAACACTGCTTCAAGTCTTGCAACATGTTGACGACATGATTTACAGGCTGTAAATTGCAACCCGTCGAATCGGACGGGATAGTGATAATCATGTCGTTCATGACGTCCAACGACTACCACGGGAATGACACACGAAAAGCACATGCATTTAATTGTTGTAATACAATCTACCATTGCCCATTCGACCAAAGCTCCCCAGAACTGGCATTGAGTGCTAGTGCATTGGGGTGTGTATCCAATGCATGTCATAGTGTCAAGAACATTCACCGTAATTGCAGAAACGTTCGACAATTCCTGAAAATGACCTTTGGTACCTAAAGTGCAACCAGACTCGTCCCTTCAACGAGCACCCAACCCCCTGCTGCTCAGCGCACTGACTCTTGAATGCCCCTCGTTCTTGAACTTAATGAGCTGGGTGCACAGCACATGAAGCTGTTTTTGTTGGAATCATCCCTTTCTGTGTTTGGTGGGATCCACCGATCTTAGGGCATAAGGAAAAGGAACAAGTTCTTTTGTACAAGTGTGACTTCTCCTTTGAAGGGTCGTCTCCCAGCTTGTTGTTCGGGGCGTGGTTACGGTTGTGTTCCTCAGGCGCGTCCCAGAACTCTACGGTCCGAAACCGTAGCGTAACGCGTCGCCCGTCACGGACTGGTTGGTGAGGGTGGCAGTCTGTCGCAAGTCTGTTCCGACGATTCCACAAAGCACGTCCACCAACTGCGCACCACTTGATCGATGCCCCAGCAGTCGAGCGTCGTGGGCCCCTCGCGCCTTCCCCACACCCCCGATAGTAGTTGTACAGGATGCAACGACCCAGAGGATAATACCACACACAGGACACTTCCAGTACCATTTCCGCACGTCAGGCTGTGCATCCAACAGGAATAGTGGTAGGATCTCCCGACTTAGCCAATTCTTGATCCAGCCCTTGGCCTGGCCCGATATCGGCTTACTCAGCACTCCAACTGCGCTTTTCCAAGCACTCACGGGAATCCTCCTGTAGTGTCACGTCCCCCGGCGGACAAAAGCCCCAACCGCAAACAACACAATGAACCCGCCAGCCACGAAGAGGCCCCCATGAGCACCCCCCCTCGCCAATGTACTCGGGCCGCCCCATTGAGCCGTGCATGACGATGCCCTCCCCCGCCAGATCCGCCCCCACCCCCAAAGTACAGTCCCTTGGTGCTTCTGATCCGCTTCCCTGCCCCGCCAATCCAGGCCCAAGTACTGTCGGCGGCCCAGCCCCGTGAGCGGCCTGCACGTGACCTTGAGTGTTCAGTAGGCGCTCGTCACCGCCGTCAGTTGCCCCGTGCCAGACTCTAGCCGCGCGGGGATGGTTTACGCATCCTAAAAGCCTGGGCGGCGGAGCTGGAGGTCGTGGCCCCGCCAGGCCCTCCCTCCGCCCACGGTCGCCGCGCTGCCTCTCGGCGCCCTCGGCCGGCCCTGAGCCCCGCACGCTCTCCCCGCAACCACTCGAGCGTCGCATCCCGCCGCCTGGCCGCGCAGCCCGCCGTTATTGCCGTTGGCGGGTGGCGGTGGGAGGGCAGAGGGCGGAGATGGCGAACGCGGGCCCGTTCCGCAAGCGCATGGCGCGCGTGGTGGTCGACCTGAACAACCAGCTGGCCGACTCGCAGTCGGGGTCACTCATCCAGGTGGGCGGGTGCCGGGGCATCTGCCCTCCACGTCGATTGCATTTCGGCGTCGTATGGCCCGCTGTGTGGTCGTGTGTGCGTGGCCTGCTGCTGACCTGGCTGGCGGTGCGGCACAGATTTGGATGCCGGACAGGACGGAGGGAAGCAGCCAGCTGCAGACGCAGGTGGGCGGGGCGCGACGCGGGGGCGACGCGGACCCCACGGACTCTCGCGGTTTTGCCCGCCCGGTCGTCCCCCGCGGAATTAGTCAATCTCGCGACGGAGCGCAGCATTGTTGGAGCCGGCCCGGCGGCTCGCGCCCCGCCCGGCCACTTTTGGCCGCGGCGCCGACTCGCCCCGGCTCACCGCAGGCTGGGGTTGTGGTCGTCCCCGTTGAGCTGGCGGCGTTGCGGTGAGCGGGCAGCGACGTTCGCGGCCCAGGCAGGTTTCCTCATGCTTGCCTGCGAGCGAGGTTCCGATAGACTTTGCCACGCGGCGCCCGCCGGTCCGCGGACCCCATCTGGGCGCGAGTACGCCTCCCGTTGGCCCTTGCCCTCTTTCGGCACGTGGCCATCCGGGCACGTGGCCGGGAGCAGGCTCCGCCCGCGCTGGCTTTGCGGCCGCGCCCCTTGGCCCGACGGTCGCTTTTCCGCGCGCCTTCGGGCGCCGGGTCGCCGCCGACGAGAGTTGAGCCGTCGGGGTTTCGGCGCAGGGCCTGCCCTACGCGGTTACGGGCACCGGAGACCTGCTCGCGCTCTTCCGCTGCATATCGTGCCGCTACCACTTCAGCACGGACGTCATGCAGCCCAAGCTGTTGGGCGCGCCCGGCCGAGTCTACACCACGCTGGAGGTGGCCCCACTCCGCACCACCCACCCACCCACCCACCCACCCACCCAAACATCGCGCCCGCTGTCGATGTTCCGCTACGGACTTTCCGGCAACTCCGGTGATGATGGGTGGGAACAGTGGCACCTTTGCATAGTCAGCAGGGTTCACTGCGCCACGGTCCTTGCGCCTTCCGCCGCTGTGCCGGCGGCCAGCGACCCTTGGCCTGAGTGGGGTCCTGGGACTGGCTGTACGACAACACCGGGAGTCCGTGTTGGCGGGGTCTGGTCGGGCCTGTGTGCGTCTGGGAGACTCCTTGGACGTTCGTCGGAGGACAACCGGGTGATCGGCGCTTAACAAACGAGCGTCCCTTCTGTACCGTCAGCTACAGGACACTTGGCGACGGCCACGGCGCGGCAGTTCCAGCCATGCCGCTGTTGATCTAATGCGATTGAATGGCCCGTGGTGCCCGTTGTCGGCTCGCTCACCCCGCTGACTGTGCTGCCGCGCAGCCGGAGATGTGCAACGACCTGCAGAAGTATCAAAAGCAGATCTACCTGCGGGTGAGCGAGGCTCAGAGGTGCATGGTTCACTCCACCCTGGTGATGCCCTTCTTCGAAACCGCTGCCAGGGAAAGGCCTATTGGCGTGCTGGAGGTCATTAAGACATCGAAGAACGTTGCGTTCAACGACCTCATCGACCGTTGCATAGCGGCATTGCATGTGCGTTCTCCCCTCCACTTGCACCCACACTCCCCTTCTATTCCCACTGGCCTTTTGTTCTTTGCGAGGTGTGTTCTTGCTTGGGCTTCAATCGACCAGCTGCAACAGCAGTTGGCCTGCCATAGATGGTCTTTGTCTGGCCGCACAGTCAGCAGTGTGCTGAGGATGCTGTGGCTGAACCTCACTTATTGAATGAGGTCTCATCTCCAAACATGGAATTGTGCTGCTTGCAGTGCTCTCAGCCAGCCAGATGGTGAACAGTATTTTGAAATATCAAGCAGTGATGGTGCTTGCACTGGTTCTGGATTGGCAGTGGGAACGGTCCCACTGAGCACACCTGGTTGGTGTTGTGTACGGCTTTTGCCTCGTAGCACCTGGGACTAACAACCTATGCAGGAGGTGTCAGTTGCTGGCGTGTATACAGCGGCAGGATGAGAATTGCTTGCTGTGCTGTGTGTGTGTTGTGTCAGCGAGTTGATCTGTACTCATCAGATTTGGATTATCGAAATCTGGAGATTGGCCTTCGCCAGTGGCCCTTAGATGTGGACAACTCGTTAATGGAGGTGGCGCCAAGAGTGCAGATAGAGGAGCTTCCTGTGGATGGCGAGGAGGCATCTGGAACAGGAGAGAATTCGAGCGAAGCGTCGCCCCTGAAAGCTAGGCGGAGTTCGTCCCAGATCAAGAGCTGCTCATCGCCAGATATGGACAATGCAGCAACGTCAAATCCTGAGAAAGGTGAAAATTGGGACGTGACTGGTTTTGAAGTGTCGAAACTAAGGATGGAACTTGCAAGATTACGGTTGGGAGAGGAGAAGTTGACACTGAGGCACAGCTGCCTTGTGGACCTGTCCACATAAGATTGGTTTGGCCATGGGGTTGTGCCGCACGCCACTTCCACTTCCACTTCTACTACTACTACCTCTCTACTGCATTGGGTGCTCCCTCTGCTGCTGCATGAAGGTGAGTATGATGTCACAGGAAACACGCAGATGCACGGGAGTTGACGACTAAGTTTTTGGGCGCTGTCGGCTATATTTGGCGCATCTGTGTGTGTCTGAGCATGCATCTCTAGATGTTGTGGGACTTTTCCACACAGACACAGCGGCACCTGCCAAGAATTCAGCACCCAGCCCAGTCGAGGTTTCAAACAGCTCCTTGGTGCTTGAGACTGTGATCCTTCTGCTTCTGGCTGAAGCAGGGTTCAGTGTAGGTGCAAGCACTTGCTACACAGCCGTGTCAAGGTAGGAAGCGCTTGCATCGACTGTCTGGGCTTCGTTCAGGCAGTTAATGTGGCAAAAGCGCCGTGCAGGCACTAATGCTCACTGCTGACAAGATCGTCAGGTGGGACCTGAGTTGGAAGGCGAAATTGTATTGCTGTGCTTGGCGTTCTGATCTTACTCAATGTTGCTGCTTTGTCTCTCAGAAGCTTCAAAGGAAGCGCGAGTGGAGAACAACAAGCTGCCTGCATATTCTTCGTTGGGCTTGAGTGGCTCTGCTCCAAACTTGACAACACTAACTGGACACCTGGACCCGAGCCGGTGAGCAACATTTGTAGACTAAACATATGACGTGTTGCTGATACTCAGCATCAGCAACAGCATCCAGTTTGTTGCTGTTGAGCCAACCATAAAACAGTTGATGGTGCTGACACTTTGCAATCCATGCCAGCTCTGTCAGACTACATTTTTCATGGACACGTACCTGGTGACTGCTGTCCATGCACCTGTTATTCTTGGCTTGTGCTTGCCATCTTTGCACATGAGACGATTTTTTGTGATTTTCATTTGCAGATCGACTGGGGATGGCTCTACCAGCGTATCTCCTGTTTCTGGCGTTGTCCCCGGCGTTCAATACCCCTTCCCCACGTTCTTATCGTCCACAGCAGGGCCCCCCATTTGCTACCCGAACAGTACACAGCACCCCGGGATGAACTACATGGCCGTAGCCAACATGCAGGGCAATGTCCCTATGGTGCCGCAGTTTGACGTCAATGCCTCCCAAGTGCCCATGGTGCCACAAGTAGCGGTTCCCATGAACCCTTCCACATTCAACCCTGTCAACAGGTCACAAGATATGGCAAACGCCATGATGCACATTCAAAACTTCCAGTCCCTTCTGCAAGAACTCCAGCCTGGAAGCCGAAGGGCCAGAAACGATAGCCGCAAGTCGAAGACTAATATGGGCACGGGTAGGCATTTGACTTTCGAAGACTTAAAGCGGCACATGAACGTGGGCCTCAAGGAGGCAGCTGCACAGCTTGGGATCTGTCCAACGACCCTGAAGCGTGCATGCCGACGTAATGGCATCACCCGGTGGCCCTGCAGACAACTTGCAAAGCTGAACAAAACAATGAGTGACCTGGGCCACAGGGGACCGCCGCCTGACAACGTACTGGCGTCAGCGTTCAGGGGCCAGCTGAAGACGAGCAGCCTAACTCGGGAGCTGAGCTCCGGTGGGTATCAGATGCTCTGCTACAGGGGCTGAGGCCTGGCATCGTTCTGGTTTTCTCTGCTGTTGTGCACTTTTGCGTCCCCTAAAGATGAGTGTGGCACGAAGCACAGTCAGCATAGGCAGAGATGCGTGCTTGGACACGAAGCCAAATTCACAGTATTGATATTCTGCTTTTCTATAAATCGTCCAACGTCCCCTTACAACAAGCACCGGAGGACAACAAATTTTGCCTTGCCGTGCACTAGTCCCACGGAGATGTGCTGATTCTGAGAGACATGAATTGTTTGCTTGTCATGATGTCTTTTTCCACTCTGAGTTTGTTGCCTGTGTTGATCAGCTGAGCTGAGTGCTACGGGTGAGAAGGATGCGGCCACTACACAAGGTGTGGACATACAACAACAAGCACACAGAGAGATTCCTGGAGGCCCTAGTTCTGCACCTGCTTGCTTGGATCTTCTGGCAGAGTCAGAGGGCCAGCTGCTGGGCTCCAGCTCCTCCCATGGATTCCTCTCAACTGTGCTTGGAGAACAGGTATGCTGTGGGCATGTTTTTGAGTGTGCCACCTGTGCATTGCAGCTGAAAAGGAAGCTGATATTCATATCTGCGGAGGAACCTTTCTGCTGCCTCCCCTCCCCCCTCCCCAAGTTATAATAGTAACTTCCCTTGTGGCACATGACAATGACAGGTGCAACTCCCCTTGACGAGATGTTCTTCCCAGATTCCTTTGGAGAGCATTCGGAGTCATCTGCAGACTGCTAAAAAGTGGACGCTGTCTGCTGATCGCAGTTCAACAGATACATGGGCGATTGCCCAGCTGTGATAGAACATTTGTTTTTTTCTTCCCTTGTTTCCTTGGTAGCACATTATTCCAGTGTAGATTCGTGCAGCACCAAATACAGTGCAGCTGCTGCCACGAAATGCAATTTCATGTTGCCAATGGCATCTGGTTCGACTACTCGATTGTGTCCTTTTAACATCAGTTCTGGATAGTCAGGTTTATTTGCTCTGTTACCAAAAGATATTACAGCTGCTGGTTGCCTGGTAAAATAGAAGATTATGAGTGCAATCCAGCACGAGGTTACAGCATTTCTACTTCTTGCATTGCAGGACTACGAGTGGGCAACAACCGGAGATGATGGCGATGATTACCTTAGGGCTGAAGACGACAACGAGGCGGGGCCCAGCAATGCCAGTGGGCAGTCTGGTGGCGCTCTGGCTAGCAGCTCCACCCATGAAACCAAGGTCCCTGTGCCCCTTCAGGCAACATCTTCAGCAGCCACAGGTGGCGTTGCCAGCACAGCGGGTGCATCGGAGCAGCATGGCGTTGTGCAGCATGGATCGGCCTCTTTCGGGTCTGTGGACGTGACTGGCAGCGATGCCCAGCAGCCATCGAATATGCCTGAAGGTGGGCTGTCTCTGGCGGATTTCCTTCGAGAGAGCTTTGATGTCAACGAACTGGATCGGCTAGACATTGATTCAGACATGCCTGACCTTGGAGAAATGGGTCAGGCATCTTAACATTTTCTTTCAGGGGTGGCTGACTGGGGAAGGGAACGGGGAGCAGAACATTTGACTATTCCGCACCAAGACAGTCATTGCGATGTGACCCTCAGTTTCCAAGCATCGCGCTGGCACTGTCGAGGAAACTAGTGTGCTTTTGCACAATATCACGCCACGCCCATTAGATCAATCAACAGTTGTATTTGAGAGCCTGTATGCAGGCCGTGGGGTCTAGTATGTCGAGGGGCTGGAAATGCAGGATTGCCGTTGATGGGTTCATGGGTTTGAGAGTGTGTCAAAGAGAAGACAGTAGAATTCATGCTGATTGCGAACATATCTTATATCAACAAATCGGTATCAGGTTGTGTAGATGTGAATAGACTTGCAGTTTTGGGGATGCGGGTAGGTGTGCGAATTTGTTCATTGAGTTGCTGGCCTTTGAGAGGTTCCTCGAGTATGCACGAGTATGTGGTGACGGAGTGGTGTGAGAGGTGGGGCTGTGTTGTGTGAGATGGACATGTGGATTCTTTTATTCGTTTCTTCTTTTGGCCATGGGCGCTTGGTGGAGAGTCATGCACACTGGAGAATAGCGTGCCTGCAAGGCAGGGTTCGCCATACGGGGCAGTTTGGGATTTGAAATGGTACTCCAGTCCAGTGGAAAGCTCTGGTCAAGTGTGGGAACAAGAGGAAAAGGTTCCGTGTGTTTGACGATCTGCACAAACGGTTGTTGCTGGTTGTCTTCATTTGTACCATATTCAGTGCGCGAAATAGAATTGATGACGGTCTTAATGTGTTTGCTTGCAAGGGGTGTTCCAAGCCCTTGCTTTTATCATGTGGCCATTCCAGTGATGATATTTGACCTTGGCCACGCGAGTGCACGTCCCAAGCCAATCAGCCAGCAGAGCATGTTTAAACCACGATGTGAATGACGGCTGGCGGTCCTGGCATGCATTCTTCATATTTAACCAAGCCATAGCTTATTGGCTATGGTGTGAATGCGAAACACACTGCAGTATTACGGATGGTGGAAGCTCATCAGGCACATGTTCTTGACATGTCGTCAGCTGCGCGTTGCTTCACTTGTATGCTTTGTCAATCAGCCAACTCACGTCGCCCCTGTGGTTGACGTTCGTCTCGAGGCAATGCAGGGCAGCTGTCTCTCGGGGAGGACGCCAACCATGCAAGCCAGTTGATCCACCTGGCTGAAAGGCTTCAGTGCGTGCAGCACAAAGTCGGTGGAAAACTTACGGAGATCCTGGGTCCTGATACTTTTCTCTGGATTTTTGGCACTGTTGCAAGAACCACCCTGCCACAGTGGCAGTGCACCTTGCGCTGCAGCAAGTGGCACTGGCCCTGCTGTATCCTACACTGAACCAAACCCAAACCGTCATGGGAGTATCAGAACACCCGGCACCCCCTCGTGACCACAGCTGCGCTGGGTGCATTACTGGTGATGGAGGCTAATGAGTGGCACCAATTGTCTAACATGTGTCTGGAAGAAAGGGGCTCATGATACTACATAACTGTCATTGAGGATGTTCATTTGTGAGGGTCGGATGGTCTGAAATCGCGGTGGGAAGAACTTGGGAGCAGGAACATACACTAGTGCTGCCATCGATGCTGGTCATTATGTGGCAGGCCAAATTGCTTCCTCATGGTTGCCCCACCACCCGATTTTTTCACCGTGCTCGCCTGCCTTGCCCAAGGCACCAAGCAACCTATTTGCTTCTGGTTTAGGGCACCTATGAGTTGACCTGTAGGGGCTGGCGACCGTGCCAGTGCAGGCACCGTCGAGTCGACGTTGCGCACCGTCCCCACCGGCCCAAGGCAGCCCTTGAAGCGCACGCTAGGCCCCGAGGGGGAGACCTCGGTCGCCCCGGGTTGCCACACCCCGCCACCCTGGCCTGATCCCCCCCCAGCAGCCGAGAGCCCGCCATGGGGTACCTGCGGCGGGTGGACCGATCCGCGGCGGTGGGCTTCTGCCCCGTGGGACCGTACCTGGCGGCCGGCAGCGCCGCGAGCGCGGTGGACATGAATTTCTCGGCGTCGTCAGTCCTGGAGGTGCGACCGAGGGCGATGGGAAGGGCGGCGTCGGGCGGGGGATCGGCGCGCGGGGCCGTGCGGGCGCCGGCCCTCCCACACGTGTCCCATGCCGCTGTCTCTTTCCGGGATCTTTGACCACTGGGGGCGCGTGTGGGCCTGCTGATCCCTCGGCATGGTGCCTTTGGGGGTTGGGGCAATCGCGCCGATGGCGCCCGGCGCCGGGGTGGCACATGGCAGAGGTGCATGGCTTTGGGCCGGTGTTGGCGCCCACGGCTGGCAGTTGAAGGGGGGGCTGCATCGCCGCTCGGTGCCGCTGCCGCTGCTGCTGCTACTGCTGCTGCGGGATGGATGTGCGCGGTTGTGCCAATGGATGGACAGGCGTGTGCGATGGTGATTTGACTTCGCCAAAAGGGAAGGGGGTGAGGGGGGGTCGCCGCTGACCGGGCGGGTGGCTGATCTCGGTGCTGCTGGCTGCAGATTTTCAAACTTGATTTTTCGTCGTCAGATGTGCAAATGGAGCCGGCGGGGCCCGCGGTTCCCGCCAGCGAGCGCTTCCACAGGATCTCTTGGGGGACGACCGGGATCGAGTCGAAGGCATACCCGGTGAGGCAACAACGCTGCATCTCAACCAGCAGAGGTTCATGGGCAGTTTTTTTGCTTCTAGCGGAATACAGGCTGGCATCGGACTGTGAATTGCGAGAACTCACTGGTGGCCTCCACTCACTGCAGTTGCTACCAGTGTGTACTGCCTTTGCATATGTTGACTGGGGTGCCACAGACCACATGCAGGAGTAGCCACAGTTGACACTGGTGACAATTCAACTGCACTGCTGCCTGGGCGCTTCTGCTAGAGTCATGGAACCGCCTGTTGCCTGTTCAGTGCCCAGCACAATGAACTCCGCCTGCTGAATCAGTGCTGCATCAACTGCACGATCACTGGCACCTTGCAACACCCAATTCTGCTGAACGTCTTCCGCTGCTGCAGCTTGGCCTTGCTGCAGGTGGCCTTGAGGACGGCACAGTCCTAATCTGGGACCCCAACAAGGCAATAGGGCCACAGGCTGACATTCAGAGGACAACAGTTACCAAGCTCAAGAAGCACTCGAGCGCGGTATGCTCCACACTTAGTCGAGAAAGTGCTGAAAAGGCCACTTCGGGAAGTTCTGTGCCTCGTATGGCAAATATCAAAGATTGTGGTCTGGTGCAATAGCGTGGAATGGAGGGGCACTATGGGACATGCCATCTGGGCTGCCATCTGGGCTCAACATTGTCAAGGGACGGCTCTGGCAAATGAGTAGATTATTTCCCAGTCTGGAATTCTTTGTTCTGGGAAAGTTGAGCACACCAAACAAGGCAACGCAGTGTTATGTGCAACCTTGTATGCAAGCTGCTCTGATAAATGAATTGCTGAGTTAATAAAGCAATGCCTGACTTGACTTAGGTTGCTCCACGTGGGCTATTGGTAACATCAGTTCAGTTCCTAATTATGTGCACAGTGCTAAGTGCTTTTTCTTGAGATCATGCAGACAGTGCAGTGCCGAATGTTCAATGTTGTCTGCACCTTGCAGGTCCGTGGACTGGAATTCAATCGCATCAGTCCAAATCTGTTTGCATCTGGGTCATCTGAATCAGAGCTAATCATATGGGACCTTGCCAAGCCTGCTGTACCGTCTTTCTATCCAGCAATGAAGGTAACAGGTCCTTGCCTGCAGTGGTGGGTTCGATCAACATTTTAGCTTCTCCACTTTCTTCAGGTGCAGCAACTTCGATGCGATGTGCGATTGACTGAGATTACTGTATTGGCACAGTGGCCTAACAAGATGGTTGTTGGTTGGGAAGGTATCATCTATGCCACAGCTCATGTGTCAAAGCTCAGTCTCCCGCTGCAACATCCTATGTGCGGGGTGTATCCATGCGTTGTAGGTCACTACCCGAAACTGCAGATCTCAGTTCTTATGACATCGACTGTACTGCCCTTTTCTGTTGTTTTGATGTCTTGGGTCACTAGGGCTCCTACACAGCCTGCCCTTGGCAGAGTAGCCACAGACTCTCGTCCATCTGTTCATTGCCATTGGTAGGGTCCCCAGAGTGGTGCAGTGCCACTGTATGTTGATATGCCCAATTGTCAATCGACTCGAAGTCAGTGAGCATTGTCACCACTGCACAACTTGGTCAAGTGCTGGAGCTGGCCATGCTGGTCGTGCTCTTTGTTCTACCAGGTACTTGAAGCCATATTCACCAAAATGCATGGTACGCTGTCAAAACAGGAAGTGTCCACCAGGAAGTGGTGTAGCTCCTTTTGCCTAAACTTTGTATCAACCAACTTGTTGTGAAATGGAGTTTACCTACTTGTGTGGCTTGTCTCATAGCTCATCTTGAGTCACCATGCACGTTTCCGCTTCTGTTTCATCGGCTGGGCATATCTTATCCACAAATTCTAGTGTTCCCTGCTCAATTACTGAACCTTGTTAGCACTGTTCCTCTTGCCACTGGGTTGCCTGCCCTGCAGCCTGTGTGTTTTGCCATACCTTGGCCAACATTTTTCTTGTTCAATGAACATGGCAACTGCCTTCTTCCCAATATTTCACTGATTGGTCAGACACTGGTTGTAAGGGGAGGATGCCTGTGGTCTGCCTTTGCCAGGGTTCTACCCCTGCTGGTGCCGGTGTTTCAGAGATCACCTATCTGGCGTGGAACGTAAAAGTTCAGCACATCTTGGCATCATGTACTTCCAATGGCCAAACCAATGTTTTTGACCTGAGGAGGCAGAAGCCTATAGCCATACTGAGGGACCTCAACAGGTGAGGCAAAGTCATGGTCTCAAGTTTTATAGGCCGCAGACACCATCCTATCTGTCCAGTGATTGTGCTGCTGCAATTGTGATTCCCAACGGCTCTGTCCCCATGTGGGCTGCACAGAGCTATTCCCAGATTGACTCCATGAGTCGTCCGGCTGCCGTGATTATGACTCATGCCATGACTCATCCGTGTTTGCCGGCTTGCACCTCTAAATGCATAGTAGCTGCCAATGTTCACTTAAGGGAAATGATTGCCATATGGTAGCTGCACATTACTGGACTGGAGATGTGCACTCCAGTTTGCAAGTCTATTTCTTGCAGAGCCCAGTGTAATGTCAGTTCTGGTTGTTGGATTTTGTCTTGCCACATGTACATTCTCATCCTTGCATGAATGGATCTGTTGTCAACAGCCAGAGGCGATGTTCAGTGTTCCAGTGGAGCCCTGATGTTGCGACACAGGTTGTGGTAGCATCAGAAGACGACAGATCGCCCAGCCTTCAGTTATGGGACCTCAGGAACAGTGCAGCCCCAGCAAGGGAGTTTCTGGGACACACCAAGGTGGGGGTGGTTGTGTTGTGTTGTTTCTGTTACTTTGAATTGGACACATAGAGGTTCATTGTTCAGTGGTATGCCTTGAGTATGATGCTGGTAAATCATCGTCCACAGCCTGATGTGGGGCGTGGGCTCTGACCCTCTAATCTTGCTGCAGAATTGAGCAAGATTCCTTGTGTACCCAACTGTCACCTGCTGGGATTGGCAGCCTCAGTTGAAGACAGCTATCAATCTCCTCAATGCTTGTGTTTGTGTGCTTTTTGCTGCAAGTGCTTGTGACTCCTTGCAGTTGCTGTCTGCTTTGTTTGTGATGACATGGAAAGGCACAGTGGTATCACCCACAATCCTGTGCGTGCTGATGCACCACAAAATGCAACATGAAGCATTTCTTTCCAATGCTTGCAGGGCGTGCTGGGCATGTCCTGGTGCCCTCACGATTCGCGTCTATTGCTGAGCTGCGCCAAAGATGGCTCCACATTTTGTTGGAACGTTCCCACAGGGGAGATCATTGGCGAGCTTCCAGGGACACGGGACTGGCACCTGGATGTTCAGGTGAGCTCAATGCATGCCATGGAATATGGTTTCACCAATTTGCACATAACTGTGGTCTTGCTGCCCCTTCCCATACATTTGCAGCAGCCTGCTCAAATTGTAGACGTCTTGCCAGCCTGCACACATGGACACATATATATGTTCTTTATTTGGCACTGCACGCTATATCTGTGTGCATGCAGCCTGTTTCAGTCATGAGAATCTCTGTTCATTTCCATTGACTACATATGTCACAACAGGGCAAGCCAAGCCATGCTGAAGTTGTCAGGCGATGACGGCAAGCACGATGTCCCATTCCCAAATCATGTTTTGTGTCCACCGATCTGTCCAATAAGAAACTGGTACCTCAACATACCAAGCTCTGAAGGAAACAGAGCAAGAAGAGAGACCTCTGGCACCAAAATCAGTGACCAGGAGAGCTAGGATGGCTGTCCATCAAGAAAATGAGTTATATTTGTGCGTGTGTATGTCAAGATGTGTTACAATCCCAGGAAACCACAGGTCATACAAAGAAGCACCCCCTTCCTAGCAGAATAAGATGGGCCCTTTTTCCGCTTTGCAGTGCTATAGGGCCACCAACAGCAAGAGTTGAATCGAAACATGAACATGCATGAAAACACACACATGCACTCTGGGGGCGTCCGCAGAACGAAAAGAGGACCCTGTGATTGTATGTCAATCATAGCAGCATGTAACTGTATCAAGGAAATTTCTGTCACAAACCCGAAACCTGATAATATAGTTTTTTTGTGCGTGTGTGTGTGTTTGCAGTGGTCTCCAACTACGCCCGGTTTGTTCTCCCTGGCCTCTTTTGACGGAACTGTGGGTATCTGCAGTTTGCAATCTTTTGTCGCACCACAAGAAGGAGCAGCAGATCCTTATGGGGCACAGGCAGGTGAGGTGCGATGGGCAAACTGGCGGGCAGGCAGGTTATGAGCAATTGGAAAGAGGATCCTTGCAACTTGCTGTGTTCTGTGAAAAATGGCCTGAATGCCACTGCTGGTTGACATGTCCACTGCATCGTTCCTATTGGTCATGGCTCAGGTTTAGGCCATGGCTACACTGTGTTGAAGGAGGTGAGACAGCTGGCCACGTGTGTGCAAGCCTGAACTGTTCGCTACTCACTTCCGTGTTTGGCATTTGGTGTCGATTCCTTGTGACCGCTTTTCTGCAGTTCACTGTGAAGATAATCGGCATTGTGGGAATGTGCACGAAGCTGTGTTTCCCTTTTATCTCCAGCACAGCGTCATCCTGACACACCACTGTTCAAAGGGTGGATGACCTCTGGAACATTTTGTCTCACTTTTGACTCCTGGATTTCAATGAACCAGGTGGCCCTGCTCCCCTGAAGTTGGCTCCTGTGTGGATGAGGAGGCCATGTGGTGTCTCCTTTGGCTTTGGTGGCAAGTTGGTGTCTTTCAGTCACCCAGAAGTGCAGGTGGCTGACCCAACGACTGGGCAGCCCATGAAGGTGCAGAAGGATCAGATTTCAGTCAAGCAGGTGGGTACAAGCTGAGTAGTTAGCACCTCCGCAATGTTGTTTCATTCTGCGCAACCTTATGACTTTTTTTTATCAGCTGCCTGTCTGCGCAATGCTATTGACAGTCGCTGCTGGTTGTGTATGCTCGTTGTCTGTGTGCAAGCTTTTGGCGATGGGGATGCTGCTGGTCTGGATACAGTAGGCACATGAGTTCAAACGCTGCTCAAAGTGCCAGTCACAGGATTCAAGCGATAGCCATGATGTTCTACATCCATTTCTCACACAAATTGTTGAAGTGCTACAATGCACTGTGACACTCGCTAGACGCTGATGGTGGCAATGCCACACTGCTGCCACCAGCACAGACGTTGGTGATCTGTGCCAAGGTATATTGAGCTACATGGAGCCATAGCCCACAGAGAGGTCGGTTGGATCACTGGCATCATGTCGTATTATGGCAGGTAATCACTGAACCGGATGTCACATCCCGATCAGAAGCCTTTGACCAGGCAGTCAGCAGCCGTGACAACGCCAAGCTCCATGAGTACTGCCAGTCAAGGGCTAAAAGCGCAGTGGGAGACGAGCAGGAGACATGGACCTTCCTGAGCCTGCTGTTCTTGAGTGATTCGCGGAGGGAGCTGTTGGGCCACCTTGGGTTTGAGGATGCCCTGGCTGCTGTAATCGATGCTGAAGCAGAGGCTGAGCAGAAAGGTGAGAGATGAGTCTTTCATGGCTTCGTTGTTGCGTAAGAGAAGCTTCACTGATCAGACAGACGTTGTTGATAATTGTGAATACCGGAACAGCAGCAAGGTGTCTGTTGCTGTCCATGAGATGAGTGATGGTGTTTGCAGCTGCGGCAGCACATCCTTGGATAATGTCAGCATCAGGCACGCGCATGTGCAGGAATGACTGATGGCCTCCTTGAAGGCTCCACCACAGATACCCTGTGACAAGAGCGACCATGCTGGAATATGGCCTGTCACAAGGCGATGCTGGCATACAGTTGTTTCTGTAAAGCAAAAGAGGTTCTGTTGAGATGATTTTGTGGCAGTTCTCTTACGGCTGCACGAAACCACCTTTGCAGGTGCTGCAGTCACTCCGGGCAAGCCTGTCCCTGACGCCGCAGAGTTCTTCGACGACGATGGTGCTGACTTTTTTGACCAGATCGCAGACGACAAGACGATCGGAGTGCCGCCAGAGCCTGCACACCCAAAGCCATCGTCCAAGTCTGAAGATGCAGTGATGAGCCCCAGTGCCCACACCAGAGCACCTTCAAAAGCTGGTGAGAAAGAGGACGAGATTCAGCGTGCTTTGATCGTTGGGAACTATGAGGCAGCGGTGGAGGCCTGCATCAAGGCAGACAGGATGGCAGATGCGCTGATTATTGCCCATGCTGGGGGATCTGCACTTCACAAGAAAACCATGAAAAGGTAGCTGTGCACAAGTCCATTTCGATAAGAACCTCCCTTCGATGGTATGTTTGCACATCGGAGGCAATGGCAAACATTCACAGTGTGTCTCCCTGTGGCTCATAGTTCCTGCTCCACCTGCTCACACAACACACAAATGGTGTTCAAGGTAAACAAGACCAGAAATAAGTTACTGTAATGAACAGTTGAACAGAAAAGCAGTTTATTGGGGGACATTGAGGCCCAATGGCACATTGGATGGGAATACTGGGCGAAATTTCTGCGCATAGCCATATCTGTGGCCACCCGTTCTGGCCCGAATTTTTTCCTAATGGCTGCATTTCCGGAGATAACACCAGTGGCTCTGATACCTACCCTCCACCACAGGTACATGGAAGCCAATCCTCGTCCTTTCATGACGATGATATCTGCTGTCATCGACAATGACTTCGAAGTTCTGATAAACCAGAGGCTGGTGTCACAGTGGCGGGAGACCTTGGCCCTGGTCATCTCCTATGTCAATGACCAGGAGTCATGGTCGTCACTGTCTGAGGCGCTGGCAGCAAGGCTGGCAAAGGCAGGAATGCAGCACCCTGCAACCTTGTGCTACATCATCTCAGGGAAGGTCGATCAGGCGGTGGCGGCTTGGACAAAGAACAAAAAGATGACTGTAGAGACAATGCAGGTGCTGGTAAATGGTGTGGGAAACCGATATGTACATGTCAAGGCAGTATTGTTATGGCACAAGAAAAGTGGCCCAGTCAGGGTCAGGAATCGGCTCTGAACACACCTGGTGAATGGTTTGTCCTATGCTACTGGGGGGCCTGGAAACGTGCTGTTGCGTCCAGTCTCCACCAAACTTGCCCTAACATTCCAGTTGTACTGTTTTGTTCCTGCTCCTTGTTGCTTGCTTGCCATTCATTTTGGCATGGATCCAACAAAGCCATTTGGCAGTTAAAGAATATAATGTGATGTCCTCAGCCTGTGGATTTGGTATGAGAGAGTCCCTTCCTGTGTTGTCCAATGCCAGAACTTTGACTTCGCACCCATGAAGAGGTGCCAGGTACAATGTGTGGTTGCCCTGAAGCTCACCCATAGCCTGTGGTGCAGAACATCATTGAGAAGGCTGTGGTTCTTGGGCTTGGTGCAAACAAGAGCTCCACCAGCCCCGTGCTTTGCGAGCTTGTTCACAACTATGCACTCATACTTGCCAGCCAAGGGAGCATGCAAGCAGCTGTGGACTACCTGAACATGGTGCCAGGAGATGCCTCAGAATCTGTAAATTACCTCCTCAAGAGGATCTATGACAGTGGTGCTGTGGGCTGGCATTCTGGAGAAACTGGAGCTGCAAGCATGTCACAGGTATGCACAGGGTGCGATGATTATCTGCCACAAGTGCATTCCTCAATGGAACAAGGTCCTTGCACCTCTTTGGCGATGTATGACATGACAATGACCAAGATTGTTTCCCAAAATATTTGCTTTTGTGCTCTCTGCCAAGCAGGGCAAGAACATCGTCATCCTGCTTTGTGCATGGGCAGAATTGCTCATCTGTGAACCCAACAATAAACTGTTGTTGTTGCAGATGTCTGCCCAACTGTGTGGGTATGTGCTGAGCAGTGTTCTTGTCACTGTGTGGCCAGAGGCGCTGGCCATGTGCAAGCCTCACTTGAAATCTCTTTCTACTGTCCTGCCTCGTTGTCGTCTGGGCCCTTCAATTGGTGGTCTTGTATGTCAGGGGACCGTTTCCTTTATGGATGGGCTGGATTGAGCTGCTCAGTGCGCGTGAATTTGAAGCTGGCCTTGGACCCTCCTCTGCAACTGCACTTGTATGTAGTTGAGGGATGGACATCTGTTGCGTGTCTTCCAGGGTGCTCAAATGCCAAGCCAGGTTGCAACGCAGCCTACACCATCTCCAGCCCAGTATCAGTACGTCCAACAACCAGACACACCCCCAAGCACAGTACAAGCGACATACTACCCTTCTAGTTCAGGCTACAATCAAACCATGCCTTACTCTCAAGCTCCACAGGCCACCACCCAGGACCCCTATGGCTACCAGATGCAGCAGCACCATCCACAGCCAATGCAGCAGCGGACACAGGACATGATGTACCCAGGAGTGAGTGGAGCAACGACAAACATAATGTCTGCAGCCGAGCATCCGAAACTGAAGTGTTGGTTTGTGCAGAGTTCTTTTCCCTGATCGTTGTCCTTGTTCATTTCTGCAGTGTCTGCTCATCCCTATTTGCCCAAAGCAACACAGGGCATGGGGGCCTGTGCCAATTCCTTTTGCATTTTGATCACGATGCCATGCTTGCAGTCCATTCATGCAAAGGGTATAGGAATGTGCTGTTGCTGTGGTTGTGGTTCAAGTTACATTTTGTTTTTGCCTCTGTGCCAGCAGCCACCACAGCAACAGCATGCCCCGCCTGTGATGACTCCAGCGCCCATGGTGCCTCAGCAATACACGGCGCCACATCCCACAACAACTCCCGTCATGGCACCGTTTGAGCCTGTGCCATCCCACCCATCTGCCCCCCAGCCAAGGGCTGCAGTCATGACCCCCCAGGTGGGTCCAAGCCCTCCAGGGCTGCAGGCACCAGGGCCGATGGTCCCTTCAATGGGGCAGCCGATGTCACCTGTGGCCCCCGCCAGCCCTCCTGCACCTCAGGGACCTCCTGCCGACATTTCCGTCTCCACAGTCAATACCTCACAGGTACGTTGTGGAAAGGGCATCTCATTCTGTTGTACAAACAACCTAATGACCAATTACATACCTTACTGATGGCCTGAGGCGAGGGGCCCACTTCATTGTTGTGTCCTGTATCGATCATCAAACTTTCTTGCAGTCCAACAGCCAAGAAATGTAAAGGACTTCGCGTTTCTGGGGTTGCCTGTGGCAGAACCCTTGTTAAGAAAATCACAATAATGTTACTTCAAAGAGGTGGGCTGGTTGGGTTGTGTATATGCCCCTTGTTAAGAAGACAAGCTTGGCCTTGCAGGTACCTCCTGACCAGAGGGCCATCGTGGCAAAGCTGACTGAGCTGTTCAGACAATGCGAAGCGGCTTCACAGACACCTGGCAAGAGAAGAGAGATCGCTGACGGTTCTAAACGCTTGGGAACCCTCTTCTGGAAGATGAACGAGAGAGAAGTGTCTCCAGCAATGATCCAGAGATTGCAGGAGTTGACAAAGGCCCTGGAGGCTGGCAACGTTGCCGCTGCCTTGCAAATTCAACTGCACATGACGGAAGATGGGGAGTTGTGGGCGGAGGGAGAGTACTGGCTACCGGGGCTGAAGCGACTGCTGAGAACCAGGCAGTTGATAAGATAGTGGGTTGCCAAGATAGGGAGAACCACATGGGAACAGGAGCGGTTCTGCAAATGTTGCAGCGGACAAGGCGTGGCCCCGTCGAATGCTGTCAAGTCGCACTGTGCATTGGACCTTGAATGGCTGATGTTGGTTCATGTCAGAACCTGCCGCCTGATTTGGTTGCTGCTGGACGATGCTCCCTTGCCTGGGGATTCGGGATTGGTCCTTTGTGGTGGCAGTGTTGGATCGATGGAGTGGAGCAATGGGAGAAGATCGGCTTTGAGGGCGGACTGTCAGGCAAGCAGAGGCGGGCCATATTCTTATTCCCGGCGCCTGGCGAGGTGGAGGACGCAGCGTACAGCAGCAGCCCATGCAGTTGTGAATTGATATGGGTGGGTGCGACTGACCTGATGGTGCAGAGCTCCGTGTGTGACATGTAATGCTGAGAGGAGATGCATGTGACGATGGGCTGTGTAGCGATCCAGCTGAATTGTTTCAACACTATGCGATGCAAGAAACCTAGTGGATGGCATACAGTAAGACGTCTGCGCCCCGATAATTGCCAGAATGGCAACTTGGGCTGTCAGACTAGGCTCCCAGCCGTTTTAGCTGTTGGTATGTTGTGGAACGAAATTGAAGGGCGCCAAAGCAAGGAATAAAGTCCGCTGGGGTGTGGAATCTGCATCCCGCACTAGATTGACCCCAATTGTGAATACCTACTCTCAGGAAGAGGACTGCGGCACACTGTGGTTTGAAGGCTGTGATTTGGCTACATTTGTTTAAGATTTGATCGGGGGAGCGCCCAGGCAGATCAAAAGTTGTAGCATATCCAGTGGTTTATTTTAATGATCCGAATCGAGAGAGTTTAACCCATGACCATACATCACCCATAGCAGTTCCCGTGCATACCAACTTGGGACTTCGAGGAGAGCCCAACTTGCCACTTTTATTCCCCCACCTGAACCACCGGAAAGCTGTTTTGTTACAGTTGGTGCAGCTGATGCGGTCGTGCTGCATGGTAACCACGACTTCCATAAGTTCCATTGTATGCACAATTTCGATAGCGGCCTTAGTCCGTTTTGAGCGTAGTTTCCTATTTCTATCAATTCAGTGTTGTGGTGCAATGATGCAGTGCTTCCCGCACATCTCGGCATCCTGATTAGTCCTTTAATGCCAGTCCGGGGGCTTGTGGAAAATATCATTCCATCTCGAAATTGCAGGTTTGGAGTGCGCCCTTGACACACCACCAAATGGGAATCTGACGACCTGCGGTTGCCTGTTGAGCGGAAAATCACGCATGGTAAGCGGAAGAACATTTGATATTTGAGTTGCCATGGAACCGAAATATCCAGCCACATATCTAAATGCACCCCGCCGCTCCTTGCACCAAGCACTTTGCGCCTGCTAACGCTCCTGTCCATGCACTTCGGCAAACTCTTGGCGAAGGTCGTGTCGATGACTTCCAACGGATGAGCCCCTGGATCAATCACAGTTGCGCAATTCGCTACTTCATTGCAGGGCTCCATATTCTTCCGGAAATTTCACAATGACATGGAACAGTCCACGACAGGAAGCCAGTCTCATCAGGGAGCCAGTCCTGGTTTTCAATCAGTTTTCATTGGCACAGCGCTGTGCTGCGCGGCATGACAATCATGCTGCTGCAGCCAAGCCTGTAGAATTGTCATATTGGTTGGGGGCACTCATTGCTGGAATCCGTATCCGCCAGCGGCCACGCGCCTGGGGAACACGGCTGGGTGGTCAATGCGAGGCACGGCACTGCGAAAGGATGCGCTCATGAGTCATGAGCTGGACGCGCACCGGTGACGGAAGTGACAGACCACCGGCCAGTCATGGGATTGCCGTCGCAGGGCTGGGCGCTTACTGTTCGCGTGACGGCAGAAAACCCCAAGGAGGACATGGGCCCACATTGAGTACTCTGCTTTCTGCGCGGCCCCCCATCACTGTGTGCCGCCTTGGGTTCACACCTGCGTTCCCGCGCCCAGCCCTGGAAATTCGGTCGCCGCGTGCGCGCTTCCGTAAAATTGCTCCGCAGCGTTTGCTGCATTCGCAACAGCTAGTCACCCCGCACCCTTTCGGGCGCGAGCGATTGCCCCGCCCTGCAGCACCCACTGCATCCACAACAGCCAACCACCCCGCCCCGCTTCACGCGTGCGAGCGCCTTCCCCGCCAGCAGCCCCGACAGTGCCTGCCCACCGGATTGAGGGCATCCAGGCAATCCAATGGCGATCCGCGGCGCCATCTTGGCGGCGATCATCCTGTCATGCATGCAAGTCGCCGTGCTGCCGGCCTTCGCCCGCACGTCCGCAGGTAGGTTGCCGGCCGGCGATCTCGCGATGCCCACTGACCTTGAACATTGCAGTGGTTTACCACGGTTTGAGGCCGCTTCTGGCGACTTTTCCGCCACTGGCGTTGCTTCCATGGCGGCCATGCTTGTGGCGCACTATCTGGGTCCTGGGAATTCCTTGGAGCGGTAATGATTGCACTTGACTTCAATCACCCATTTTCGGAAACACCGCAATTGCGGTCACACAGATGCCGCGGCGGTGCCGGGCGGCGACCCCCTGGTCGGCAGGCAATTGCTGCGGGGAATCTTGCTCCGCCTCTTGGCGATCGGCCGCTCCTTGCCTGTCTTCAAAGCTGACCTGTTTCGCACACTCGGAGAGCTGCAGTCTCTGCGGGTGGGCGCAGCACAAGTGGAACAGGCCGCCTTGAATCTCTGCTGTCCAGTCGCTTGTCGCAGCACTTCACATCGCACTAGTGCGTGACTCAGCCCTGAGTCAGCCCCGTAACCTCGTACTTCGCTCCCTTCACTCCCTCTCCATCCTACAACCAAGCCCAACCCACTCTACCGGGGGTGGTGGCAGGTCGGATGAGGAAAAAGGCGGGACCGAGGGGGGGCCTCAAGAGCCGGCCCCTCGCTCCGCCCCCTAATCGCGCCAAACCCCAAGCGTGCCGAACGGCTGATCCTTGGACTGTGACTGACACCTGGTACTAGGTGGATATAAACCAAAGGGCGGGGCCTGAAATCGGCCCATTCAAACAGCTGCCCGTTCAAACCACTTGCGCAACCCACCCAACGTCGTCCTTGGCAGAAATCCATGGACAAGATTGCTAATTTCGTTTCTACCTTGTCGGTCGTCATCAAAGAAAATTTACATACCGAGGCGAGGAAGTAGCCGTCAGCTCCCTGTGGCGCCCGAGCAAGCATTGCCCATGATTGTTCCATGAGATCCTAAAGTATCCCCACAAACTACTGACTGTGTTGCAGAATGCACGAATCCACAAATTTGTCATCAAATTGTCTCAGCCCATAGTTTCCAATGTCCACATCAACTCGCTAGGCGAGACTGCTTTATCCACCTTTTTCCCTTCAGAATTGAAGTAGGAAAGGGGACTTGGGCTTAGGGAAAACCATATTGTGAAATTTGCACACTTAACGTCAACGTGACGTTACGCTCCCCCCCTCCCCCCCGTCTTTAGCGTCAATCCTTATTTCGATGCCAGGATGACTCACCAACATTCCCTAACAACGCCATACAACTTGAAAATAGTTTTAAGGGAAACAACAGCCAAATTGTAGCTATTGCAATGGTTTGGAAAATGGGATGACAAAAGCCGTGCTAGGCGAATGTAGCAACCCCAAAAACCCTAAAAATTGATCCATTCTAATGACTTCCTCGAAGATAGAAAGTTTAAGGGAGGTTTCGCAACATGTCATGAGCTATCTGCCGCTGATCAGCGGCGGTTTTAAAACATTCTTCATCAACCATCATCTCAACATGATGATGAAGAATTTTTAATATCAACCGTGACTAAAAATTCCCGTTCTGTAGTGGATATCCAAATCCCGCAAATTCTTGTATGCAACACCGATTTTCTTGAGGTGTGGTTGATCCATTAAGGGTCGATGAAGAAAATCAATGATCAAGCGGTAATTGGTCTTCCCATCCTCGTGCGGCTTGGCCAAAAGAAAGGCCTGCGAAATCCAAGTGTTGGAAGGAGGCGTTGTCCAGACGATCACCCCCTGTTGCCAAATAACTTTCCTAGAGCTCCCGCCATTGTCACCTGCTCCTCGGGCGTCCTCAATGGGTACTCACCTTAATCGAACGGTGGGGGATGGCCCATTACAAAGGCACCTCCAAATGGACCCATTGTAGGACTCCATGCGTGGGCTCGATGCGTCCCTACACTGAGAGTCAGCCTCAGAAACAGGCTTAAGGAAGATCCACTTGGCAGCAAGCTTGGGAGCTTGCGCGGCTGCGGCGATTGCAGCAATTACCTTCACTGCCTTCGCCTGTAAATTCTTGGCGTCGCAGGCCAAGGTGCCAGGAGGCAGGTGATCGCTTTGAGCTTGCTTCTCCACCACCATTGTCTTCTTCACCAGCTTTATTTGGTAGTCGAGAACTTCCTTGTGAATGTGATGGAGTGGCGCATTAATGAGAGGGTCATAGAAACGGCGATGTACGACGCCCAGCCAAATGTTGGCTTCATTTTGCTCCCCGTGGACCTCCAGCCAGTGAACGAGCATTTGCGACCGTGCAGCATTGTTAACTTGCAAGCATGGTGGTTGGGCAAAAGGGCATTGTGCATGCTGGGCGGAAAGTCTGGGTGTGGCTTGAGGTCGATCCAAGTGGAGGTCAGGTCAAACAAACATGTAACGTATGGGGCCCATGACAGACACGGAGGCGTTGAACGCCTCTGCTGAACATCCACCAGAGACAAGGTTTAGTGCCTGCAAGAACATCTTTACACGCCAGTGTCCGTTGTTCAAATTCCTACCTAGGGTACAACAAGGGTTGGTATGAAAAACGTTGAAGTCACAAACCCAAAATGAGTACAACAAATGGGACAATGAAAAAGTGCATGGCCATCGTCCTGAATGCGAATGCAGTGCATTCAATGTATCAGCCCAACTCTGGTACTCTTGGAAGTAGCCAGAGCTGGCCTTGAGGGGGTGCGCCAGTTGTGCACAAGTCCTTCGAATGTCGAAACACACGGGAACATAGACCCCAAGTGGTTAGACGATGGTGTTCTCGACTGACCAAGGCAGAAGGCGAAGATGCGGTAGCCAAACAGAGTCCAGGTTTCCCGCAGGCTGGCCATCGTTGAAGCAGACCAGCTGTTCGTGGAGCCGCTGCTCACTAGGAGTTTGGCCATGGAAAAAAAAAAAAAAAACTGCTGTAGGCTGTGGAGGGGAAAGGCACTTTGTGCCTTCGGATTGTGCCAAGCAAGCTGGTGCAAAATAAAACTAGATGGGGCCAAAGGGGGATCCCAAGCAGCGGCCCCCGCTCCAGCCCCAGACACGCCAGATCCCGCGGACGCCAATACGGCTGACAGCTCCTGTTGATTCCTTGGACTTGGACTTATCCAAGGTACCAAGTTGCCAGAAAAGCAAAATTGGTGGGGCCTGAAATTGGCCCATTCAAGTAGCTGCCCTGTCATACTACTGCCGCAGCCCACCCAACGTCATCCTTGGCAGAACACATTAACATGATAATTGATTTCATTTCTGGACACTCGTGTCCTCCAGCGGCCACGTGCCTGTGCAGCAGGGCAGGGCGGTCAATCCACGGCACTGCACTGCGAAAGTATGTGCTCATGAATCATGTGTCATGAGAGCAAGGTGTGCACCAGTTCCTGCGTGTGGACGCAGAGCTGGCGGACCACCGGCCAGTCATGGGATTGCCGTCACAAGTCTGGGCGCTTCCTGTTCGCGCGATGACAGAAATCTTCAAGAGGAGACGAGGAGCCCACGTTCAGTACTTTGCGTTCTGTGCAGCCCACTGCAGAATTCTGCACTACGTCCCGCGTTGCGTTCGTGCCTACGTTCCCACTCACAGGGCTGGAAATTCGGTCGCCTGCTGCGGGCTTTCGTAAAATACCCCGGCAGCATTCACTGCATCCGCAGCAGCCAGTCACCCCGCCTCCCTCACGCGCGCGAGCGATTGCCGCGCCAGCAGCCCCAACAGTGCTTGACCCTCAGATTGAGGGCGTTCTGGGGGCGATCCCATGGCGATCCGCGGCGCCCCCTTGGCGGCGATCATCCTGTCATGCATGCAAATCGCCGTGCTGCCGGCCTGCGCCCGCTCTTCCGCAGGTGGGATGCCGGCCGTGTCGCGATGCCCCCGAACATGGCCGCGGGTTGCCGCGCTTTGTCGCGGTTTGCGGCGCCTTGCTGCGATTTTCCGGCGCTTGCGCGTGACGCACTCACTGTGGCCTGGAGATTCCTTGGAGCAGTGATTGCGCCGGAAACCAGCCGTCCCTGTTTGTGGTCCTCGGCGATTGCGGTCCCACGAACGCCGCAGCGGCAAGGGGCGGTGACCGCCTTGTTGGAAGGCAGTTGCTGCGAGGAGGTTTGCTGCCCCTTGGCGATCGGCGGCCCCTTGCTTGCTGTCCAAACTGCCCTGTTTGGCACCCTCGTAGGGTTGCAGCCTCGTTCGGTGGACGCAGGGCAAGTGGGACAGGCGGCCTTGAATCTCCATTTGTGCTGTCGGCGCGCGCAAGGTTTCCGGGCGCCTGGCCGAGCGATGGTCGTCTCTGTTGTCGTTTCGTCCTGTACTTCATGTTGTGGTGGGGGCAGACCTGGGGGCAGGATTGGGGGTGCAAAGGGTTCGGGCCGCGTTTGATTGTTGTCCAGAGCTGCATGCGTGCCGTTGGGCGCAATGAACGTGTGCCGGCTCGATCACGAGTGTTCCCCCGTGGGGAGGCAGGAACCGTGATGGCGAAAGCAACATCCCGATGGCCTCGTGCTGTGCACAGTAAACCTGACCGTGCGGCGACAGTCAATCGCCCATGGTGGTCAATGAAAAGTGGGATGTCGGACTTGGCATCCAAAGGTTGCGAGCGGTTGTCATTGACGTCCAAAGCGAAGTGTTGAATGAATGTCAATAGAAGCTTGTGGCTTGAATGTTGCATGATCTTTGGATACAAACAATTGATGGAATTTTCCATAATGTAGGAGATCACACTTTTTTTTCTCTCAATTCGCCGGGGAGCTACACAGACGCGTTTGGGCTGCTTCGTACAGTGACTAGCTCATTGGTCTTTTGCAATACTTTCGTAGACACTCCAGGTGCATGGGGCCAATAGAAGCTCACGCAACCTGAAGTGCGAGAAATCTAGACCTAACTGAAAAGAAACCTCGATAGGCCCGGACTATGCTATTTTCATAAGGTTGTAGTTTCTGGATCCTTCCCTCCGTCGGACAGCTCTGCGGTATCAGATGGTCAGTTATTCCCAGCAGTAGGATGTTGTTCTTCCAAGCCAAATGCCGACATCAGGCCTGCACCCCACCATATCGTACTTGCAACGCCCCCGCGATCTGCTAGCGTTTGCCACCCGGGGCACATGGCGAGCCCAAGGTGGCTGTTTTGGTTGTTTGTAATTGAAGTTGTGCATATAAACCTGCGCAGATGTCCGCCTACATTGCATAGTCTATGTGGCCGCACTGCACCCTGATGTTTCCACTGAGTAAACTTCAGTATCTCATGCTTGTTTTACTGGCTACCTCCGGTCCAGGGGGGGAGTTGTTCGGTGATGGACTGCCGTTCATGCGCCGACATCTGATGCAAGGACCGACGACGTCCACTGCGAATGGAAATGCCAACGGAGGTGGCACAGTACGGGTAAGTGCGCACGGTGTGCTGTGGGAACGGAACTTGTCCCAGCAGATGCGTATGTGCACTTGTATTGACAGAAACACCCATCAGTTGACACAATTATCGATAGGTGAGAGGACAACGTCAACGCACGACCTAGTACGATGATAAGGGGTCGAATCGCCGTATGCAGAATTTCTTTCGTGCTTGGTCAGTTTCCTGCATGATCAATTATATTTTTAAGTTTAATATCATTATACATTATGTAGTGATTAAATTATCCGTTATATTAATTGTACATGACGAGGTTGGCACACGGTCAGTTTTCGGCGGCTGATGCACAATTCGAAACCCTGTGTCTGCTTGCTTCCAACTGAATTTCATAGAATTTTATATCACAACGTCGCCAGTGTTGCCTGTCATGGTTGAATGTGCGTCGGAGATCGCAGCAGTGAGCCGATAGCCATCCACTGTGCACAAAGTATACAGCGTCACATGCTACGCCACATATCCTTGCATGGATGGATCCCTGCCCGTCACCAAGCAAACCCATCTCGCCCTTTGGCGAAGGTGACATTAAGAATTGGCCCGCACTGCACGTTTCAGTCCATTTTCAGCGCGGCTCACACCACTATCATGCATTATCTGAGAACCCAAGTATCAAACAAATGCCGGCATCATAAAGTATGCATTAGCATTGCACACGCGCTTCTTTGACGTTGTTACGGCTAGAACTGATTGAGTGTTATTAATAACTGAATGTATGAAAAGATGACGAAGCACTAAGGATTGCATTAGGGATGTTGATGAACGGACTGGGTATAAAGGACAGAACGTCTGTTGTCCTTTTGCCTCGGCTGTAAACCGTTGCCGTGGACTCGAGCGTATAATTCCCGTTCAGGGATCGCCACCCCTCGACCCTGCCTGCCTTCGTCAACGTACATAGCGCGATTCCAAAACCGCATTCCAATGCACAGAACGGCCGCACAATGAGCTCTGTTCCCGCGCAGTCCACCGCCAAGGCGGTCTCCACGGCCCTTTCGGACGTCAAGGTCGCCGTGGCCCACGCCGTCGCGGAGGCCGTGGCGGAAGTCGAGGCGGGCGGCAGCGCCGCGGCAGCGGCCGACGCGGCCGCCACAGCCGTTGGCGAGGCTACGGCCACCGCCATCGCGGAGGCCACCGTGACTGTCGAGGCCACGGGCTCCGGCATGGGGTCGGGCGTCGCGGAGGCCAACGCGCGGGCGGTTGCGGAGGTCGTGGCCACGGCCATCGCGGAGGGCTTCGCCACGGCGACCAACGGGAACCAGGAGGTGGTGGCGGCTGCGCTGGCGGAGGTGTCTTCCAGCGCGGTGGCGGAAGCCGTGGCCACCGCGCGCGCGGAGGCGTCGACGGATGGAGGGTCGGCGGAGGCGCAGTCCAAGGTGCGTGGGCAGGGAGAGGCGTGGTTGCCACGCGGCACGTGCAAATCATGGTTCGGAATGCATTACATTTTGTTCGTGTTCCCCCGCGCTTGCACAGGCGCGCGGCAGTGTGAGCAGTTGTGCATCTATCCTCATATATTCTTCGATTGTATGGCCCGATTCTTCGATTTTGTGATCTTTTCTTGCTGATCTAATGGCGCGACTTGCGAGGCAGTGTGAGTGGTCAGAGAGGGATGCCCATCAGCGTTTGTTGCTCGGCGCTACAGGTGGTATCCACTGCCGTGGCAAAAGTCGTCGTCACTGCCATCGCAAACGCGCTGGCCGTCGTGGAGGGATCCAGGTCAAGTGCTACGGCGAACGCAGATGCAACAGCCGAAGTTGTGGATGGCATGAATACCGTTGATGCAGAGAGCACTGCGAATGTAGATGGTGAGAGGCCTGTTCGCCCTTACTGGGTTATGTCTCGTTGAAGGGCGACCTTAAGCTCAAGTTTTGTGATCTCAACATTGCCACAGAGTCACTTTGAATATTGTACATTACTCAACAAGTGCGACACATGTCTCACAGCACAGAGGGTGCTGCCACAGCACGACTGCTTGGGAGAAGGCCTGTGGGGATCTTTGTGCCAGTTCGTCGACATGTTTCACGTTCGCAGCATGTGTCCACACCCTCTTCTGCATTGAAGACCGGGCACCGTGTGTTGAATGGCTGAAGCTGTCATCAACATGTCCAATGAACGATTGCTGTTGGGATGAAATACGCATACCCGCAACAAATGGAGCCGCAAATCAATGTGCTGAGAATTAACAGTGTCATTGCCTAACGTGGATTGCATATTGACCAACATTATATGCGAAGTATACACGCCCCTCGATGGACACCTTACCACCCAGGGCCCGCGGTGGATCCACAACTTAACCTCAGCATCAGCCACTTCTCGTCCCCTCACACCGCGCATCGCGATGACGACGCAGGCCAGGGCAGCGCGGACGCCAGTGGGGACGGCACTGCCATGGGATCCAGCGGGTCTTCGCCGTCTTCTCCTGACTCCCCCTCTCCTGAGACTCCCGCCTCCTCTCCCGAGACTCCCGCCTCCTCCCCAACCCCACCCTCTGGCCCATCCCCCACTTCCGAGCCCGAAAGCCCTGCCCAGAGTGCCCCGGCCCCTCCCGGCCGTTCGCCTCCTCGCCCGCCGGGCCGTGGCAGGAACGACGACGACGACGAGGATGACGACAGCGAGGACACAGACGAAGACGACGACGGAGACGACGAGGACAGGAAGGGAGACGACGAGGACAGGGACGAAGACGACGAAGATGACGACGGGGATGACGAGGACGAATTTGATTGCACGAGTCGCATACGGAGGGACGTCGCCTATCCGGGTGGGGACCTGGATTCGGACGACCTGCTGGACGGCTTCACCAAGATGCAGCCCACGGCTGAGGATTGCTGCAGGGCGTGCGCCGAAAATGAAGGTGGGCGGATGTGGTGTTAGTGTTGGTGTTATTCAGCATGCCTTTGCACTGTGGGGTTGGAAAATTGGTGCTCTGTTTTGTTCCTGATGCTGGTGAAATATGCCAGCGTTCGTCTTGTTGTTGTGTTAGTTGTTATGCCTGGCGTGCTCTATATGAGCACAACAAGAAAAAAAGACAATGTCGCTTACCATCCCAATAGCCCACCCTTGGATTCAAAGATCCTAGAGCTGGCTTTTGAAAATACATTCTAAATAACAAGGTACACGGTATTAATTTAATTCAGGCACCAGACCTAAAGGAGAGGCTTCCCTTTGAATACAACATCGGCGTTGCAGTGCAGTGCAGTGCAGCGCGAATGCCCGGCGGCTGCATGATTTTCCGTTGGCTAGGCAAAGGGTGTGAGAATTGCTGTGTGCCTTGCCATCAGAATGTGAACTCTTCACATGGAATGAGAATAGCAAGGAGTGCGTCCTCAAGGATGACAAGAAGAGAAGGAGGCGCAGAAAGGGCGCATACAGCAAGATCCTCAGAGATTAGAAGGCAGCTTTTGGTTATTGCTGGACTGTTAGTATTAGTGGTCAAGGGGCGGAGCCTCAATGTGATATGTCCCAACACGAAACGAAGCCGCCATGTCTTCCAAAGGTATCAAGAATTGGGGCATCCCTCGTTTTATTATATTTGCTAGCATTTCTCAAATTGCCACCCATGCACGCATAAAACGGGGGCAGGAGAGGCTCGCGATTGTTCGGTGCCCTTTGCTCACAAGTTTTTGGGTTGAGGATAATGGCATCCCGCGATCAACAGGTACAGAATTAGCGGCACTGCCATGTCTATGGCCGCAGCGTTGTTGTGATACAAGCTTCTGCCGGATGGTGCTCAGCATTGGAACATTGGTGCAACCACTTGGGTCTTGTCGATGCAATTTTTGCGTTGCACCCCCGTTCAGAAATGAGAAGGGGAGCTTTGAATACCTTTAGGATGTCCAGAGACTCAGTGGACAGTATTTTGGGGGGCCCTTTCCTGTTACTTTTCAGTGTGTAAGTATTACTTAGAATAACAAAAAAAGCACCCAAGATTCATGTTGCACACGACAGCAATGTTTCACAGGGTTCGAGCACCTTTTGTGGCAACACAAGCGGCGCCCTGGTGTGACCAAACCCGGAAGGGCGATCCTTCAACATGCAATACATGAAGCTCGTCTCAGAGGTGTACTGACCGCCATGTGGAACACCACATTTAGTTCAGGTCCAGCGCTTCTGTAAGCATGTGAAGTCTGCGACAAACCCCTCCAGTCGACAATTCTAACCGTGGAGTTCTAGATCTGAACCAGAACTTCAAGGTATTTTGCAACTAACTATAAGATGGAACACGCCCATCGCACGTGCCCGTAACAAAGGCAAGTCGGCTGAGAATGGCATACCTCCAGATTGCTGTAGTGCAAAGGCCTCACAAGGTGACCAACACCCCCTTTAACAGCCACACTGACCGTAGTAACCGAAGTATTCCTCCCTACAGCAGAAGCAAAATCGCTTCGATGGTTACTGCAGGTTTTCAATGTTGGATGCGCTCCTCACAGCAGCAACATAGATTTTGAACCAGTTTGACGTCCAGCTAGCTGGGGAGCATACTAGGCGATAAGGATGGCTCCGAGGACCAATGCATGACCATTGCAGCAACAAATGCTATGCTATCTGCAAAGTTTAATAAATGATATGGTACATACAGGGACATCAATCAGCTATCATTAAAACAGACACGTGTCTATCTTCTTCGCCCTTTCAACCATCCGTCGTGCACCTCCTGTCGTTAGGTTCAACGGCATTTTCTTTAAGTTAAAATATTCCAAGTAAAAGTGAAAACAGGAAGCAAAGCACAAACCGTCGAGCACCAAAGTCGATCATACCCTTGTGGATATTTCGAGGCGTTTGTGTAGTGATCACCGTTTCTGTGGTGACTCGCTGCGTGCGATCACATGGCGTCCTTCACCTTTTAGTGTTCGGTTAACGGGCACAGATGGCTCACACTCCTTTTCTCCACATTATCTTCTGGCTTAAATTACCGTGTCGGACTTTGGCATCAGGTGCATTACAGTTCCTATTTCTTGTTCAGGGGTTGCTGGGATCGAGACACCAGAAGGACGGAAATTGTCTCAACAGAAGGGCAAGACAACAAAAGAAATATCGATCCTTACTAGGCCAAATTGTCCCTAAAGATGACAAGTGCCCCCGTTGAAAGCAACTCATAGTTGTCCAGTTCCAAACTCAACGAGGAAAATTTTGCACCAAATCATGTTGGGATTGCATCGAGTTTGGGCTTGGACCCATTTGGCCAAATTCAACCTGCGCCTCCCCCACCCACGTGCCAGAACATTGTAAGGTCGCCGACTTCCAGAAACCGCCATCCAAGACTTCCCGCTGACGAGGTGCGACATGGGCGCAACGTCGCGCCCACGGATTTCCAGGTTTCTGACGGGCGCGCCCCAAACAAGGGAAACCCCACACCAGCCGCAATTTCGCGAACGCGCGGGGCACGCATTTGGAATTCGCCCCACGGCCGCGGACCGGCGAGTCCGCGGCGCACAGACTTTGGTGGGGCGCGCCCGATCGCCCGGACTGCACGGGCGCGGCACCATGACATGGGGCCCCTCGCTCGCCGCGCCCCCGCCTCAGATCCCGCCGGTCATGCAGCCCTCCCGCGCCGCGGGCCGCCTTACTCACGCCCACCGCGGAAGCACGTGGCGCGGGGGGATAAGTTGTCCGCCCCGCAGCCCACAGTCGCCTACCCGCTCGCGAGCCTCCCCCACCTGCAGCCCGAATTCGGGCCGCCCGAGGCGACCCTCGCGGCGATTTTCGCGCAGGCCGCATGGCGTGGGGTCCAGTCCAGGGCGCGGCGATCGCCGTTTTGGCGTGCCTGCTGTGTCCATACGGCCGCGCCCGTCCGGCGGGTGGGTCGCGCGGAGCCCTCCTGCGGAACCCGGACGCGATCGATGCTAGGATCCGCGCTCGCGACGCCCGATCCAGCCCAGGCGAACGAGTGCACGCGGGCGCCTTGCTCCTGGAGGCTGTGCCAACTCAACCGCCCGATTTGTCCGTCGTCCTTCGGCCAAGTTCGAGCTTCCCGTATTGCGCGCGCTATGATTTCTGTCACCGAGTAGCATATAGCGACCCCGCGCCCGCTAATTTGAGGGCAATGGGAGGTTGGAGACGAATGGAAAGCGGAGGGGCGGGCGGGCGCGCCTCGTGCGGTGGTCGTGGGCCTGCGCCGGCGGGCTGCCTGTGAGGAGAAAGAATGGGTGTGCCTCGCTCCCGCGCGTTTGTTGGGAGGTAACGCGGGAATATGGCGATCCACGGATTGGCCGCTGGTGGTGCCGTTCGCGCTCGCGCGGCACCGGGCAGTTCTGCAGGGTATCGATGCGGTGGCGGGTGCCTCAGGGATGCGCCCAGCGGCGATTTTCAGAAGCGTCGTGCGCGCACCTTGGTTGCATTCTCGTGCCCACCGGGGACGCGTTTCAGGTTCCCCAATTGCAGATCCTGTGCAGAGCTTGAGTCATGCGTCGGAGATTCAGGGCGTTTTGGACGCTTCCGATCGCAGAGGGAATTCAATTCAGCAATATGGCACGCGATACCACCCTGCTGTCATGCCAAAGTTTTGTGCTCAATGCCGCGAACACAGCACCCGAGACACGATGCAGCGCGCATGGTGCATTGAGAGCTGCCGATTTTAATATCGCTGGTATTTTGAGCTGCAAGCTTGGTTCCAACAGCCTTGAGTTTGTTCCAGACGTCTGTGGACACGCCTTGACAATGCTATGTCGTTTCTTGCGCCCATTCAGGTCGACTTCCAGGCAAGGAAGCATCGATCCGGAACCTTCTGGGGCATTCAAAGTCCATTTCAGTGGCCATCAGTAGCAAAAACAGAACAGAGGCCGCAGAAGCAATAGCTAGAGCAGCATCCACAGGAGACGTACAGGTGGGCACTGGACAATTTATATTTCTTGTCCTCTCTGCTGCGCTATATCAACATGAGTGGAAGAACATTTTCAACTGGATTTAATAGATCTGCATGTGGATCAATGGACTAGTTCTGTGTGTTCTGTGGCATTTCTCATTATGAGTGCCTTATTGTGGCATCGTGCGGGATGTCTGTACCCATACCCCGTTTCAGGAGTTTTTCGCAATCACACACAAGCTTACATTTCCTTGCGCTTCTCATGAGCCCAGCAGGTGTGCTTTGCGTGTTTCGCAGCTGAAACTTACGACGTCGAAAACTGCAATCGGAGGTGTGACGATCACATGATAGATTGCAATTGCAATGGATTGAGAACAGCCGTGTGCATAACCGAATGCGAATTTCAAACATTCTTCACTGCAAACAGGCGATCGTGGATGCCCTGTCGCTGCTGGATGACGATGATAATATCCAGGTGGCCGCTGACGCGGCAGTAAAAGCAGCGTCAGCGAATGGCACAAATGACGGAGGCGTTGCGCAGACTGTAGCAAGAGCAATAAGCTATACGACAGGTGAGGTGAAAGTCTGTGGAAGACCATTATCTCACACAGTGCGGTCCTAAACCGATCATTCTAGGCGCATTCCTGGAACCGGTAAGTGGAAACAGTTCCGCTGGCCATGGCTGTAAGTGGGGGCCAATCCTACACACAATCGCGATCCATAAGGAGGCTAGCCTGCAGATACGTCATCAGTAGAAAACGCCATTTTGGCGCCACCATCAGCGATGGCACTCGGCACCAATTGATGCCATCATGGATGCTTTGATGCCATCGCCACCTCCATCGCCGCGATGGCGCAACTAGTCCAAACGGCATAGCAGTTCGCGTCGCCGAAATGGTGCTTTCTGCCAGTGCGTGCAGCAATGATATGATTCCAGCCGTGCCGCTGAGCTGGCAAATTCGGTTCTTGTGGAACAGGAGAAGACGAGGATGAGGTAATGGAAGAGATTGAGGAGGACGTACAGAGAGGCTATGCATCGGCCGTCGCCACCACACTCACGGAAGGGACTTATTCCAGGGTACGCAACACACCAAACTGGTGAAATACACGTGAATTCACATAAGCAAATAGCTCGTGAACCGCTTTAACACGATTACACAGTGAATCAGTGCTGGGTAGCGGTTTGAAGCAACGTTGCATGGATTATGCACGACACAGTCATCAGTGATGGGACATCCTTCAGTTACTGCATCTTCTTTTGTTGAGGTACCCTCGTGTCATTTTTCTCATCAATGAACATTTCCTGGCCATCCTTACGATCATGGTGACGTGTGAATGGGAATCTAAGATCTATGGACGAGACTTGTCTATTGGATGCCGTGCCCTTCTGGGTCGTGATGGTTGCTCCCAGAGCATATAAGCACATTCCCTTCAATGGGCTCAGGATATTTTACGTCCTGCATCCAAAGCCAAATTTTGAGAGGCAGTGCGCCTCAGCACAGAGCTGTCTACTTTCTCACTGCACCACAACGGAAGTGCCCACTCTCGTCACATAACACCAGCCGCGCTCAGGGGCGGCCACGCGATGC